TTCAAGATAAAATGTAAAGGCACTGCTAGACACTGTGAGCAATCACACAATATAAAAGAAGGTATTTTATCATAACTTGCAATCTTGTATGTTTTAATTTTTTGAGTGCACTTCACACTTCAAGCTGATAAATATTGGTAATAGATAGGTTGAGAGTTGTCGGGCTCATCAGTCATCAGGGCTAATTAGGAAGGGATTTGATGATGCAACATATAGGTACACTTTTGAAAAAATTGGCAAATCCATCCACTATGTTTTGCAGGGACTCTAATGGCAAATGGTCAAGAATCATTGTTCATACGAGATTTTTGCCACATATATTTCCAAAAGTTTTCAGGTTCCCTTTTTATAGATGATTCTGTATTCTTATGTAAGATCTATATGCTTCATCAAGACTGCATATAGGTTTGCCACAAGAGTCGCAACAGCATCCAAAGATTTGGTCTTGTCCTTCTTAGAAATACAAATTTCTTTACATACATAGCAGTTTAGCAGCTCTGCTAACTAACTCATATTTTTCTGTATAAAAATAGATCATCCAACCTCAAGTACTCAAAATTCAGAAAAACCTACTTCTTTTTGACTGAACATATGGGTCTAAAGTTCTGTTTTAATAAATCTAATTGAATTAATTTCTAATAGTCCATCCAACAAGGATGTTAAAAGATTTTAAATTCAAGAAAAATTTTGACTTGACAAATTTAGACCTAAATATTAACACACCAATGACTCAAAGTATTTAATTTTTCTTGAAGAAAAACACAGTAATCATTATTGCTAATATTGCGTATTGTAGTTTTAAAAGCGGACTGTAAAATGCCTTAGTAATCTGAATAATTTGATAATCCGGATTGGTCTGGTTTTAATTGATCCGGATTATCGCGACACTACTGTATTGTGATAAAGCCTCAAGTCATTGGCGTAAGCTAGCTTGCTACATGTGATCGCATTCAGAAGATCGTTTATAAATATAGTAAACATTAGCGGGCCCAGATTAGAGCCCTGTGGGATTCCATGCATTGCAACTTAAGCCTGTGATTTGAAACCCTCAACTCTGAAAAACTGAGTAAGACCCAACAAGAATGTGGTAAAGACTTTGGTGAAGTTTGGTGAACCGTTCAGAAAGCACAGGTCCCTACAACTTATTTAGCAACACACAATGATCTCATATACAGGCAAAAGCCTTCTGAACCTACCTTTTTGAATATACTTGATCACATTTTTGGGCAGATTGACATTTAGAACAGGATCATTGTAGCAGGTGATTTTAACGTTAGATTTTGCACAGAAGACAGGATGTCCAGGGACCTAATTGACATGTTTACATCTTATGGGTTATCACAAACCATTTTTCAGCCCATACGAGGAGAAAATTGCCTCGATACCATCTTCATTAATTTTTCAGAGGATGATTTTGAAGCATCTATCATAAGTCCGGGTAAGTCTGATCATGATGGTCAAATGATTACAGTCAACTGCACTCTTAAAAAAACCTCTAGCACAATCACAAAAAACTTTGTCAACCTATCACGCAGAGAGGAAAAAACAAATTCTTTGAAATCATTGCTAATGTCGATTTTGGCTTTATTGATAATTCATCCTCCTTGGAGTCGAAGTTTGAGACCCTCATGCAGTTGCTTGAGTCCGCTTTCAATGATTCGTTCCAAAAAAAATATGTGTAGTTAAAGCACAGCATACAAATAATTTTGACTGGTTTAGCCATGATTTAAAAAACATGCGTGAACATTTACAGTATCTGAATGATCTTTACAAATATTTCCCGAACAACCAACTCAAAGCTTATATTCAAAATTTTCGAAATGATTATAGAAAGGCAATAAAAACTGCAAAAATCAAATGTAATAATCGGAAAATTCAAGGCGCATCAAACCCAAGCAGGTGCATATGGAAGATCATAAACGATTTTCGGGGTAAGCCCTCTAAGACAAATACAGACAACACCAACATCAATGCACAGGACTTTAATAACTACTTTGTTAGCATAGCAATAGATCTGCAAAAACAAATTCCCATCTCAGACATAAATCCTATAGATAACTCACAAAACCTAAAAATTGACGCACGTGAATTCTCTTTCAGGGAGGTCCCTTTTAATGATGTCAGAACGGTGATTGACGGCCTAACAAACAAGACTAGCAGAGACATCTATAATCTTAATATCAACTTGATAAAGGGTGTCAAGAATTTGTTGCTTATACCGTTGACAAAGTTGATCAACATGTCTATCAAACAAAATACATTCCCAGACTGCCTTAAAATTGCCAGAGTCGCACCTATATATAAAAAAGGGGAAGCTAACGATCCCGGGAACTACAGACACATATCTCTTCTGCCCTCCATATCAAAAATTGTTGAAAAATGTCTTAAAATTCAGATGACTGAACATATGGAAAATGGAGGATTCTTAAATGCAAATCAGTTTGGTTTTAGAGAGGGAAGAAATACAACTTTGGCGGTTTTGGGGCTAGTTGAGAGTGTAATGGAGGGGTTTGAGAGCTCTCAGTACATAGTTTCCACTTTCTGTGACCTGAGCAAGGCTTTCGACTGTGTTTCTCACGACATTTTACTGGACAAATTACCCTACTACAAATTTTCAAATAACAGCATAAAACTGATAAGGTCGTACTTAACAAATCGACAACAAATTATGATTTTAATAACACAGTATCAGATAAACAGCAAATCAATGTTGGTACCAGAGGGATCAATCTTAGGACCAATATTGTTTTTGCTTTACATAAATGATCTTCCCAACATTGCTTTGGAAGAAATCTATTACAACTTTGCAGACGACACGACTGCACAAACCAAACACACTGACCTACTGATTGCCACTGAAATGTCAGGGGAGGCACAGTCGAGAGCTAGGAAATGGTTCTCCTAAATGAAGCCAAGACACAAAACTTCGTTTTTTCACTGAAAAGAACTGAGGCGGTGACTGACAGTGTCAAGTTCCTCGGAGTTTCACTAGATCAGAAATTACTGTGGGATGCCCATACCGAAATGACATCCAATAAACTAAGCAAAAATGCATTTGTTCTGAGAAATTTGTCATTGTGTGTTTCTCCAGAAATTCTAAAACGGGCTTATTTTTCTATCTTCCATTCACATTTAAGTTATGCATTATTAGTTTGGGGCCACTCAACTGGTTCCCGCAGAGTCTTTGCCTTGCAAAGGCGAGCCATAAGAATAATAGCAGGATTGAAATACAGAGATGATTGTAAACAAGCTATTGTTGACCTCAAGATTTTGACTCTCCCAGGTGAATACCGTGAATACATCTTACAGAACCTGATGTATGTCAGGGAAGGTCATGACAGATTTATCCGGCATAGTGATGTTCATGATTATGACACAAGAAATAAAAATAACTTAATTTACCATCGTTTACATAGGTTTCAAAATGGCGCTGGATATCATTCTATAAATTTCTTCAATAAAATTCCAGAACCCCTAAAAAATCTTGTAAATTTTAAGCTACTTTGTGAAATCTTTTTTTAAAAAATGAAATGTTCTACTATTTTTTGACATGTGTGAACACGTAAGTGTAAATGGCACGAAAATAAATGATTTGATTTGATTTGAAAGTCTGTATATGTATATGATGTCCACCTGACCCAGAGAATCAAGTGTTCTACATAAGTTTTTCGATAAGCCTGATATAGTCCGACACATACCATTTTAAAGTCACGTGATTTTTCTCTATCCTTGTTGAATACATCTCAAACAGCGGTGATAGTAAAATTGACAAAAAAATTGCCGTCTAATTATTGTTCATAAAATTCTTACCTGAAATAGAATCCGTTGCTGTCATCAATTAGTTTGTCAAAGTTATTTTAGAAAATGATACAACGAACAAACACAGCTAATAATTTTGACTATATTAACCTTTTTCCAACTCAAAAAGATGCAAATAGAAAACGGGTACCCAATTCAAGTTCAGAATGTATTACAAGGGGCAGCAGAAGCGACAAAAGTGAGTCTCGCAACAATTGCAAGTATTAAAATTCTCATCTGATTGGTCAATACTACTTCAGAAACGCGTTTGTAAAATGCTAGTAGGAACATATCTTAAAATTCAATAGTAATTAACCACAAGTAGCTTTTTGTAGGTGATATCAACGACATAATCAACGAACATACATTTTTTGCCACCAATATCACGTGACTTTAAAATGGTATTTGTCGGACTATAGTAGTCATGCATGACCTGGCATTAACAAATCTATGCTACTCGATCAAAATTACATTTCTGACATGATTAAATAAATAGTTAAAATATATAAAATGCTTTCAAATATAGAGAAGTAGTAGAGTAAAGAAATCGCCAGGTAATTTGTGACAAGACTAGCATCACCCTTCTTTAAAATAGGAGTAACACTAGCAGTTTCCCAGATCTCTGGGAATTGATTTATAGACAAAATCATGTTGTAAATATAAGTTAAAGGATCAGCCAAGTCAATGCATAGACCCAATCGTTAACCACAAAACTGGAAATGCCGTCAACGTAATGGAATGCAAAGAATGCACAATTTGTTCGGTACATAGTTTTGTTCTCAGCTCGGTTCTCAGTCTTATCTATGACCCTCTAATATTATGCAACAGCTGATTTAGTTAACTATCTATGTGCTAAAGCATAATATTTATCAAATTAGATTAAACATAATGTGCTAATGTACAAAAAAATTGTTAAAATCTTGGCATAGATTAAAGACCACTGTTAAGAGCAGGAAAATTTCTTGTCATGATTTTATTTTACCACACCCTAAACTATGTTTTTCATAAAAATAATTGTATAGGTACCCTCCTAGCGCCCTATAAATAATATCTGAATAATTTCACATTCATAAGTAGATCATATATCTATATAGCATTTCAAAACATCTAAACTCAAAAGTAATTGAATTGAAGACAATTACAATTGTATAAATAAACAACAAATGGAATTGTTGACACAATTTATAAATAGTTTTACTCACCTCCCCATCACCACTACCTTCCCCATTGCGTCCTTTTTCAGCCTTAACTTTGGCATCCTAAAACATACAACAAAAAAAACACTTTGTAGTTTAGACCGATTTCCAGCTCAAACCTGGTTTAATTCTAATCGAACATTGCCACTTACCATTCTGCAAAAATATTCCACTAAAATAATATACGCGAATCGCGAATGCCCCGTTAATGACAATAATAAATTAACAAAACATGAACGGCCACGGCATCAATCAACATGTAAGCTGAACCGTTCTAACAGGACTAAACTGGTCGATGTGTTTTGTTTAAACGCGAAAATAATTTTTCCGCAAATATGGGAATTGTAATAAACTACCGATAACAATATGGGAATTATTAGAACTTTTGTAGGATACAAAAAAGATCGCCGGACAATTTTCCAAAAAATTCCAACTAAAATGAATGAAGGAACTTTTTATGACATAAGTGACACATGTCAAATATCAAAAATGAACCATGTCAAATATAGGGGTTTTCGGGAACTTATGATCGAATTAAACTGAGGTATTGGGGAAATGGCTGCAACAATTTAACAAATTCTGGTGAGTCCACTCTGTGACCCAGGCCCAGCCCCTATTTTATTCTGTTCCAGGTTCCAGTTGAATTTGGAATGTGATTTTAGTGCGGTGCTAGTAGTGCGTTGTTCCTGTAGTGCAAACTTATATCACGGTGTAATCGGTGGTGTAACACTAAATAATACACCATCATTAGGAGGTGAGTTCGGACCGCTTACGTGGTACAAAATGATGGTGTATTCGGCGTGATACCGCCGATTACACCTTTATCACGTGATATAACCCTGCACTACACGAACACCGCACTAGCACCGCACTAAAATCCCATTCCGAGCTCAACTTTTATCGAATAAACGGTGTCTCACCGTTCAGGCACCAAATTATTTTCGTGATAATATGGTAAAATCTCTAGCATTACCAATAAAATCCAACCATTTTATCAAATGATTAGGCCAGAAATGTCAACTTACGCTCATGAGAACTCGCCCTCAAACGTAAATAAAGTGTTTTACACCAAACTTACTCCTACCAATTAACGAACGCTACAGTGTCATTAGAGAGTTCTCGTGCTGTCCAAATTTCAAATACCGTAACGCTATTTTAAATCTATGACAGTTCTTACGGTATTAGCGTTAATGGAGACTGGAGACCGCTATCTAACGGGACTTAGGGCGGGTATTATAAAACTGCTTTGACAGTTAACTTAAAGTTAACTTTTTGAATTACATGTAATTCCAGAAGTTAACTTTAAAGTAGGGTTGCCAGATTGAAAATCTACAAATCGGGTACACCAATCAAAAAGCTGTTGAAAAATAGGGACTTTGAATAAAAATCGGGACACTTTTTCTTTTAAGGAATAATTTGATATAAAAATAAAACTGGATAATGAATTTTTTATTAAAATATAAAAATAAAAAATAACGCAAAATAATAAAATGCATTAGTTTATTTATGATTGGAACCAAAAATATCTTGACAATAATTATGATAATATATGTAGTACTAATAATTTTGATAGAATAAAATAATAAAATAAAAAAACACAGGTCTCCTAAAAATGAATGAAGATTGATATTCGCGATAAAAAAAAACTAAAATATCGGATTGAAGAAAAAAATCCTTTTGGTCTAAAGAACTGAGAAAAAGGGCTAAAATCTGGATAAAATGGTAAATATGAAACAAGCCCAAACTAAATTAGTTCCAAAAATATTCACCTTTTATCATTAAGAATCGAAATGGGCAAAAATTCCATTCTTTTAGACCGACAGAAAAAGAACCTGGATTAGACTCTAGACAGTATGATATCTCACGAAATAGACTACTTGCTTTGTAGATAAATCTAACAGATCCACCCACAGACGATCCACCACATACAGTGATTACCAATGACGATTATAGAGTTCTGAGAAATAAAATCAAACTCAGAGATAACAAGTAGGTACAATCCAAAAATAAGTGACTAAGGGCGGGTATTATAAAACTACTTTGAGAGTTAACTTCTGAAAATACATGTAATTCAAAAAGTTAACTTCAAGTTAACTGTCGAAGCAGTTTTATAATACCCGAGATTACTTTTTTTTAATTTCACCCAAATATGATTATTCCGGAAGTTATACAAATATTAAGTTTTTTATATATAGATATACTGAGCATGTGCGACGTCACAACTCACAACGTATTATACCTAAGTTATGACGTCGGAAGGACATTTCAAAGCGTTGTATCTCCGTCAATTTTTGACTAACAAGAAAAAGAAAAAACACGTGTTGACTTATTTTTCATGGACTATCGAAATCAGCAATAAAAAAATTTGATGCAAGGGGCCTATTGTACTAGATCTAGCACAATCACGTTCCACCTAGTACGCTAGTACCTCTCTCATAAATCTAGTACAATTTGGATTAGGAGTCGAGTATCGTTCTTCGCTCTGAACCGTACCCGAGTTCTGAGCTCTACTCTCTACTTGTGGGTTGGGTTCCACGTTCCGGTCCCAGGTTTCGAACGCACACGCACTTCTTTATTCTGTGACTTGATGTGTCATGTGTCATGTATCGGGGGTTATTCAGTTGTTCAGCCGAATACGGTTTTCACAATCCGATGTCCACAGGTGCAGGTAAATTTATCACCTTTCCCTATCAAATAGCATTGAAAGATGATTTTACCTGTACCTACCTGTGGAGATCGGATTGTGAACGGATAAAGGCCGGGACACATCTATCATGCATTCTTCCGATCCGACTCCGATCATACAATCAAGGTCCTTATTCTTGGAACCGGGGAGCAACGGAACACTCATTCTCCTGGGAACGCTGTTCCCTGTTCCAAGAATAAGGACCCTGATTGTATGATCGGAGTCGGATCGGAAGAATGCATGATAGATGTGTCCCGGGCTTTATATGTAGAAATTTATTTATTTCTATCATTTAGGGCGGGTATTATAAAACTACTTTGACAGTTAACTTGAAGTTAACTTTTTGAATTACATGTAATTCCAGAGGTTAACTTTAAGTTAACTCTCAAAGTAGTTTTATAATACCCACCCTTAGGGCTGGTTTCTCAATAGTTTTATTCCTTTCAAGAGCTTGGAAGCACTCGAGCTACTCGCTTCGGTGCTTAGTCGCCCCCGATTTGCAGGGAACATATGCGTGGTGCAACAAACACTTTTCGAAAGGAATAAGCGCGTGAAGCCCTGGAGCTGTTCCGGAGCTCCTCCTAGGTGTGAAAGGAATACAACTAATAGCGAGTTGAGTCACCCCCGGGTTAAGCATAACTCCAGGGTAAACAGCAACTAAACACGTTAACCCTGGAGTTAAAATTAGTCTGAGGTTAAAACTAACCCAGAGGTGACTCGCTATTGAGAAACCGACCCTAAAACAAGTGATATTTACCTCCAATTAGCAGAGCCTACATTTGTATTCAAAATTTGACGCGCTTTCAGCTAGTACGCAATGACGCCAATCTAGTACAATTATTCCCTACTTTCTGGTACAACTTTTTTAGTGCTGATAGCACGTGTCTTCGTGTCCGAGAACTATGAAATACCATGTAAAATACCGTATTGTTAGCGGTACCGTATTAGCATAGCGTCGGAAGCTCGAGAACTCTCTAATAGTGTAGAAAGTGTCGACACATTAGTTGTATTCCTTTCACACCTAGGAGGAGCTCCGGAACGGTTCGGGGGTTCACGCACTTATTCCTTTCGAAAAGTGTTTGTTGCACAACGCATCAGTTCCCTGCAAATCGGGGGCGACTAAGCACCGAAGCGAGTAACTCGGCTCGAGTGTTTCAAGCTCTTGAAAGGAATACAGCTAATATCATTCCGTGTCGACACTTAATAGTTGTATTCCTTTCACACCTAGGAGGAGCTCCGGGGCGTTACGCGACTATTCCTTTCGAAAAGTGTTTGTTGCACCTAAAGTGCTCAAGCCCGAATCAAAGCATTTAAATGCATGAAAGCCAAAGCATCTGTTCCTTAGGGCAAGTATTATAAAACTGCTTTGACAGTTAACTTGAAGTTAACTTTTTCAATTACATGTAATTCCAGAAGTTAACTTTAAGTTAACTCTCAAAGTAGTTTTATAATACCCGCCCTTAAAGCAGGTAAGGCGCTGTCCTACAAACATAAGGAGTAGGAACGCGCCATTCTGCTTATGAAACTAAAAACTCCATGGCTTACTTACTACTCCTCTTTACCTTTACCTGCTCTAAGATCTGTTCCCTTCAAATCGGGGTCGACTGGCACCGGAGCGAGTAGCTCTGGTGCTCTAAACTCTTGAAAGGAATACAACTTCAATTATCAATAGTTGTATTCCTTTCAAGAGCTTGAAACACTCGAGCTACTCGCTTCGGTGCTTAGTCGCCCCCGATTTGCAGGGAACATATGCGTGGTGCAACAAACACTTTTCGAAAGGAATAAGCGCGTGAAGCCCCGGTGCTGTTCCGGAGCTCCTCCTAGGTGTGAAAGGAATACAACTATTCCGTGTCGACACTTTGTACCATTCCGAACATTGCCTAATGTAGGCAATTTAATCCATCTGTCAAAATGGAAAATTCAATATGGCGTGGCGGCCTAACAAGTTTGTTTTGAATATGTTTTTATGTGTATTTTGAATTACTTTGCTTAGAGCTTTGCTTGCAACTTTGATTTTGATTATTTCATAAAATATTTGTTGACTAGGTACCTAAATTATTAAATCGGGCAGAAACTAGATATTTTTGTGTGTTTTTTGGCCCATGTGTGGCTGCCACGCCATCTTGAATGTCACGTGGTTTAAATTGCCTATTTGAACCCATGATAAAAAAAGAAGAGAGAAGTGTGAAAAAGAAGAACTAGGTTGGGTTTCAAATAAAACGAGTGTTTTTTTGTTTTTTAGTGTTTGACTTTTGATAGACTACTATTAATTCGTTGTAGATTGGATAAACAAAAAACATTTGCAATTTTTTTGCTAAATATCGAGTTTTAAGCATAATTTTAATGCATTAGTTTTAGTTTGTTGTTCTAATATAATTAAAGAGTCAATTATGTCGCATCATTACGTTGTAACCGCTCATAAGCCGACCGCTGTAACTGCTTGTGTTACTGGTAAGTATAAGCACATTTTAAAGCTGTTGATTTTGTTTAAACTTGTAATTACCTTGTTATAGTTATATTACAGCTATTCGAACCACTTTAGGTAGATAATTGATATTGCTTAGGTGTATTTTAGCTTAGCTATTTAGCTACTCATTGGCCTATGTTCAGTGATAGGAACTTCTTCGACAACCTTATCTCATTTTGAAAATGCTAACTTAATCGATGGAAGAACAATGATTGTTTATTTACCTAAATAACCTGGCTTATGTAATTTTACAGACTGCCTATAGGAGCATACAAATTTTGGAAATTCATAGAATATTTGAATAAACAGCTATTTATTACTTATAATATAATTCTATGTGACAGCTTAAGTTTAGCCAATATCCTCCCTTTCTTAGGTTAACAGGTTATCCCTTTAGCTAGCTTATCCCATCTCCTGCCACTGTTATAAAACGATCAAAAATAACACTGAGGGCTGGTTCATCCACCTTCTGATAAACTGTCAGGTATGCAATCTAGCGGATAGCAACGCAATCTCTAATCCCTGTAGAATTATAGAACGGTAAATTTATCTCCCAGATAGTTACCAGCAAGTTTATCTGAAGATAAACGCGTAATTTGTTCTTGTTTTCTTTTTTCTTGTAGGCTTAGGTTGTTAGTTTGTTTGTAGTAGTAAGTAACTTTACATGTAATTACCATTTATGGTGTTTGTAAAGAATCCAATAAATAAATAAAATAAATAAAAATAAATAAATAATCCAGGCCTTACATTTCTTTTGTATTTCTGCACTCTTCACAGGTACATACTTATTCTTTTGATTGTAGATAGGATAGCTCATTGGCCCAATTTCTTTATCTTCATATAAACTTACTGGTAACGGTAACTATCTGCAAGATAAATTTACCGTTCTATAATTCTAATGGTCGGCAGATAACTGGCTGTCCGAGTGGCTGACCAACGGGATCACACATTCAAATTGCGTTTTTATCTTTCAGATTGCATACCACAGTTTATCAGAAGGTGAATAAATCGGCCCTTAATTAGTTCCTAACCAATTAGTGTGAGATCACTGAGATCTGTCCTTCAGCTTTCATATTCAAATTCAAAAGTAGCTTTATTATTTAGAATTGATTGCTCATACATTACTAGTTGAAAAATAAAACAAACCTAACTACGTCCAGCTTAAAGCCAAATTGAGCACCAACCAACAAGCACAGTAAAACAAATTAAAAAAAATAAAATAAAATAAAAGTTTTGTCCGCATTCGACCTTAATGCTATTCATTTGTAAAAAAATCGTCCAAAGTATAAAATGTCCTAGAGACCAAAACTGGGACCAAAAGCTCCTTGGTCATACACTGAAACCTTCTGTAACCAATAAGTTTCCTAAGTTCCATAGGCAAAGCAATAAACTTTTTTTTTTGCGTGTAGATAAAGGAGTTCTTTACTAATGTCTGGCGACGAGCCCTATACTGCCCTTGTCTATCCAGCACCTCATTAAATTTTTTAAAGACAACACATACACTTTCAATAATAGATATGCTGCAGAAGGTTAATATTTTATGCTGCAGAAATAGAGGTCTACATGAAGATCTCCTTTTGACTCTACATACATTTCTAACTGCTCTCTTCTGCAACACAAATACAGATTTAAAAGGGGAGTTTGCAGAACACCCCCAGTAGCATATTCCATAGGATAAATGAGATTGAATTAAAGAAAAGTAGGCATTCTTAAGCTATTTCAAAGCCGAGGTTATCTGACATTACTCTAATGTATGTTAGCCAGAAGCAATTTTTTTATTTGGACTTTTGACATGTTCAGAAAACTTAAGGTTTTCATCTATTGCAAAAATAGATCTTCCTGAATAATCTGTCTGTCAACTTCCTGGTCATGCCATAGAGTTGTCTAAGGTCTAATCATCCGCAAACGTTGTAAATCTTCCCCTTATTGGAAGATGAGATATGTCATTGATAAAAATCAAGAACAAGAGTGGTTCAAGAATTGAGCCCTCAGGTACGCCGATACTCACAGATTCCGCCGAAGAGCTTTCCCCATTGAAAACAACTGACTGAGTCCTACCACTCGAATATTTCCATCCAAGTTGTGCTTGCCAAGCCAAAGTAGCTCTTCAGTTGGATAACAAGTAGGACAGTGTGAATTGCTATTAAATAAACATCATGGATGGAAAGAAAATAAAGTTGGTGTTTAGGGAATTTAGGCCCTTTTGAAAAGGGTATTGAATTCGCAGAATTAAGGAAATCATTCCAATAAATCACAAATCGCAGACTGCATTAAAGAGCAAAAAAACTCCTTTGAAGCAATGATTCAATGATTGTGGAAATAAATAACTGAGAAATGACAACACAGAGATGAGAAGGCAGATTGATGCAATGAAAACAAGAATTTTATTTATTTATTTATTTATTAGCAATAGTTAACAGAAAAGAAAAAACAATAAAAATATAACATTAGTTCACTACTAAAGTTGAACAAAATAAAATCTACAATTTTGACTGAGATTATGATGACGCACGATGGTATTAAGAATACTGTGTGTGCGCCACTTTCCTTAATCTTTTGTAACAAATTGAAGTATGTATATGGAAATGAAAAATAAAACTTTTAAACAATACAATTAACTCTTATCAATACTCATTTGCCTTTATCTTTACTTAAAATATAGACAAAATAAAAATTTACGTCAATTTGAGGAATATAAACAACACAGGAACAAACTCAACAAAATAATCAAAGAAGCAAAAAAATTATACTACAAAAATATTATAAATAACAATACAAATAATAACAAAAAGATGTGGCAAACTATAAACGAATATAACAACAAATTCAAAAAAAAAGAAAATAAATCACCAACTGAAATAAATAATAAAAATGGAGAACTCACTACAGGCAACAAAGAAATAGCAAATATATTTAATGAACACTATACAACAATTGGAGAAAAGATGGCCAAAACAATAAGGGATAAAAGTACTGCCACGGCAAATACATCGGATACATATCAAGAAAATTCAATTTATCTTAGACCAACGACAAAATTAGAGATCGTAGACCTAATAAATTCCCTAAAAAATGATGCCGCCCCAGGAAAAGACAAAATAACTGTAAAACTCCTAAAAGCAACAAAGTTAGAATTGGCGGGCTTACTAATGCATATTGTCAATTTGTCATTTGAAACCGGCTATTGTCCTAAATTATTCAAAACAGCGATTGTCAAACCCATATATAAAAAAGGAAATCCATGTCTAGCCGAAAACTATAGACCGATCAGTTTAATCTCGAATATAGCTAAGGTATATGAGAAAGCTCTAAAGAATCGAATTGTGAGTTTCATCACAAAATACGATATATTATCACCCCAACAATTCGGCTTTCGCAAAGCTACCTCCACAAATGACGCAATTGCCTATTTGACTGGAGAAATTTATCAATCAATTGACACTTCAAAAAAGAGTGCTGCTGTATTTATTGACCTAGCAAAAGCTTTCGATACCGTGTCACATACGAAACTATTAGAAAAGCTCAAAAATATAGGCATAAGAGGCACGGCACAAAAATTGATAAAAAGTTACCTAAATCAAAGAACGCAAGTCGTAGAAATACAAAATGTTCTAAGTCACGAAAACACTTTAAACTTTGGAGTTCCCCAAGGAACAATTATCGCACCAGTACTTTTTATTATTTATATAAATGATCTACTAAAACTTAAGCTAAATGGAAAAATAGGATCATTCGCAGACGACACTGTTTACCATACTAAAGGCGATACATGGGAAGAGGTAGAAGAAAACATTAAAACTGACCTAAAAAAAATTATTCACTGGTTCGACACAAATTTGCTATCAATAAATACAGAAAAAACCGTCATCGTACCATTTTCTAGTTATTCTACAGGACTCCCAAACAATAGCGAGATAACCATTCCTCTAGATTTTAGAAATGAGCCAATAACAATAAAGAGTGTAACCTCAGCGCACTATTTAGGGATTGAAATTGATTCACATTTGAAATGGGAGGTACATATTCAAAACTGCACAAAAAAACTTAGGTCGCTTCTATATTTATTCAAACAAATTATAAACATAGTAAATCTCAAAACTGCAAAAACGGTCTACTACGGATTGGTTCAATCAATTCTGTCTTATGGCATTATAGCTTGGGGAGGGGCTTACGATAACGTTATAAAATCCTTAAGTATAGTTCAGAAAAGAATTCTCAAGATTATCTGTAAATTTCCCCGTCAGTATAACTCAGATCAGTTATTTAATTACATTCAAGTCTTAAATATAAGACAACTTCACTATAAAAGTTCAATAAACTATATAATAAAAAACAATATAACACAAACACCACAACATAATTATCAAACCAGGTTCAATGCATGTAAACAGATAGTTCCTCCAAGAATGACAAAGACAAAAGGTCAATGCTCTTTTATTTACATTGGGCTAAAAGTATATAACACACTGCCTACAGAAATAAAAAATTACACAAATAAAAAAATTTTTAATAAAAAATTAAATCAATGGCTTATCCAAAACAACATAAATATTAAGGTGTAAATCAAAGTATCAAGCTAAATTAAATTGAATTGAATTGAATTGGATAAGATTGGATTGGATTGAATTGAATTGGATTGAATTGAATTGGATTTGAATTGGATTAAATTAAATTGAATTAGATTAGATTGGATTGGATTGAATTGGATTGGATTGGATTGGATTGGATTGAATTAAATTGAATTAAGTTAAATTAAACTAAAATAAATTAAACTAGATTGGATTGGGTTAGGTTGGATGAAGTAGATTAAATTGGATTAAACTAAGTTAGGTTAAATTGAATTGAATTAAGTTGGGTCGGGTTAGGTTAGATTAAGTCAATTAAAAAAGCGATAACAGAAAAATGTTATAAACAAATTCAGAAAGCTAAGAACTACAGACAAGCTCACTAGAGCTTTGAAGATCTTAGACTTTCATTTATATGATATCTTCTATATTTACTCATGCTTTGTATTTAAAATAACATTGTTTTTATTGTATCATTTGGTATGAATAAATATTATAAATAAAAAATAAATAAAAAAATTTATATTATGTACTTGATACTGAAATTACTGTTTACTATCCAACTTGTAATTTGCCTTTTTAATTTACAATAAGGTTCTGATTTTAGGTTTTGGGGTAGTTGTAAACTTTTGGTTCTACGCAGTAAATATGATTTTGGCAGATAGTATGCCTGGGGTTGCCTCGTACCAGATTATTTTGAACTACATTTCTTGTATTTATGCCGTGTGTTAAGAAACAATCACTAACCACGTTAGTTAAACAAAATTTATCTTAAACAAAAAAAACTTTCCCACATTGGAAGATTTTTACAAGCCTTCATTTTCAAAATCAATAACAAAAACAAAGAAATCCAAATTGAACTATTTAAAATCCAGGATAAATGCAAAATTATAAAATGACATCAAAGGTTCTATAAGATTACTTTGCTCCGAAGATACTATAGCAGAGGCTGATTCTAACACCTTTGAAAAACTGAAAGAAAAACATCCTCCACCCCTTGTTAATGACGTTTTCCCGAACTCACCTGAACATGAATATTCTTTTGACATTTCAGTTTTAGACATTAAAAATTTAATTACTTCTTTCACGCCAGGTTCTTCAGGAGGTCTCAACGCACTGCGACCGCAACATTTGAAAGACCTAATTCAAGATGAGCTTGGTGAAACTGCCCATAATCTTCTTCTGACAATTTGTTCCTTTATTAATTTTATCCAAATTCTATCCGACCAATTTTTTTTGGTGCCTCATTGTGTGCTTTAAACAAAAAAGACAGTGGGATACGCCCTATAGCTGTTGGTATGTGTTTTCGAAGGCTGGCAAAAGTTGTTTGTTCTAGGGTCTATTCACCCCTTAGTGACTATTTCCGTCCTCATCAATTTGTAACCTCTGTCCTCTAACCCACGAAATCCACCATCATTCAAACTAAGGACACGAAATGGCTAATATCAATTTGGTTTTGCAACCAAATCCGGTTGTGAAGCCACTGTTCATGCAGTTCGAAAGTATACATCTTTTCCTCATAATTCGCCTAAAATCCTGATGAAAATTGATTTCTTAAATGCCTTCAATATGATTAATAGGGGGTATCTTTTACATAAAGTAAAAGAATTAATTCCTGATTTCTACAACTTCATTTCTTCTTGTTATAGAGAGAAATCGTTTTTATCTTTTGGTAAGGATTTAATTTTTTCCCAACGAGGAGTACAACAAGGAGACCCTTTACGCCCTCTTCTTTTTTGTCTATAAATTTGTGGTACCTTGATGATGGTATCATTGCTGGGGAACCGGAAGTCGTATTAGAAGATTTTAAAAAAATTCTTAAAAGATGTATTTCAACGGGCCTGGAAGTGAATTTGAAAAAATGTGAGTTATCTATCTTATCTGCAGACTTTAATTTTGATTTTGACAATTTTATCGAGAAAAATCATGAACTATCCACTGTATCAAAAATAGATAAAAAAGGCCTTACACTTCTTGGAAGTTCCTTCTCCGCTCAATCTATTTACACATGTTTTCAAAAAAAGATCGATATTTTCAATAAAATGTCAAATAAATTATCTTTAATTGATTTTCACCCGGCATAGTTCCTTTTAAGACATTCATTTGCAGTACCACGTATTACCTATTTACTTCGCTGTGCTCCTTGTTGGAAAACTCCAAATCTTCTACATGAGTTTGATCATCTTTTAAAAACATCCTTGGAAAATATTACTAATTGCCATATTACTGACACCGCTTGGTCTCTATGCAATATTCCTGTTAAAATGGGAGGTCTTGGCATTCGTGATGCTTCAAGTCTTTGTTTTTCTGCTTTTCTCGGATCAGTTAGCGATGTATCAAATCTTCTTAAAGATATTTTATCATCCGAAATTTTTATTTATCCAGACAACTTTTTTGAAGAAGCCTTTGATATATGGTCTTCTTTTTCAAATATGAGTGATTTATCTTCCAACAATTTCAATCACCAAAAATTTTTTGATGGGGCAATTTGTCGTTCAAAATTTGTTTTATTACTGAATTAATCAAAAAATCAAGCTAGACTTCTTGCTCTTCAAGAACCAGAGAGCATTGCCTGGCTCCAGGCTGTGCCATCCTCTGCACTAGGGAATCTTCTAGAAGACACCACCTTCCGCATCTCCGTCTCCTTGCGATTGGGTCAACCCTTATGTGAGACACACGACTGCACTTGCGGCAAAACTGTAGACATTTATGGTCATCACGCCTTAAGCTGCTACAAAAGTGCCGGTCGTTTGTCTCGTCATGGGCTAATTAACAATATTATTAAAAGGGCTCTGGTATCTGCAGGTATTCCCTCAGTGCTTTTTTTTTTTTTTTCTTTTTTATATTATTATATTTTTCATATTATTATATTTTATTTAGTATGTAGGTAATAAAATAAATAAATTATTTTTATCAAACGAGTCTACTTCTATATCATAAACGTTCAATATGCAAATTCAAACTGATTTCAGTCTAGTCAATCACTTCTACTATTCACGTTATTTTCCTTTCGTCTAGGTAACTTTACTTCGCCTACCGACCTCAATTTAATAGTAGCAAAAAACAGCCGACTCGAAATATATATGGTCACTCCTGAAGGTTTGAGACCCATCAAGGAGGTAGGAATAAATGGCAAAGTGGCGGTTATGAAGTTATATAGACCACAGGTTAGTATTCGCTATTACTTTCTTTACTGGCTCTCATTAAACTTTTTTTAGTATGAGAAGAAAGACCTGCTGTTCATCATAACATATAGATATAATGCTATGATTCTGGAGTGTGTTAATGATGGAGACAGTTTAGATATACTCACTAAGGCTCACGGTAATGTGTCAGATCGCATTGGCAAACCTTCGGAAACTGGAATTCTAGCCGTTATTGATCCAAAAGCTAGAGTTATTGGATTAAGACTCTACGATGGCTTATTTAAAATTATTCCATTGGACAAGGACAACTATGAGCTTAAAGCTTCGAATTTTAGGTAAAAGATATATTTATCGTAAAGCACAATAATAATTATTTTTGATTAGAATGGAAGAATTGCATGTGACAGATGTTGAGTTTCTACATGGCTGCGCCAATCCAACTCTAATACTTATCCACCAAGATGTAAACGGACGCCATGTTAAAACCCATGAAATATCGCTAAGAGAAAAAGAGTTTGTTAAAACTCCGTGGAGACAAGATAATGTTGAAACTGAAGCTTCAATCATAATCCCTGTACCCTCTCCCATTGGAGGAGCTATTATTATTGGCCAAGAAAGTATTTTGTACCATGACGGTATTGTTTCAGTTGTAGTTGCCCCCGCTGTTATAAAACAAGGCGCTATTACATGTTATGCTAGAGTTGATCCTAAGGGCCTACGATATCTATTAGGAGATATGTCTGGGCGTTTATTTATGTTGTTTTTAGAGACTGATGGTGATACTAAGGAGTTAGTGAGAGATTTGAAAGTTGAAATGTTAGGTAATAATTTATTAATGTCTATTTAATTAGGTATAAGAAAATATGCGAAAATGTATTTTAGGTGAAATTGCTATACCTGAGTGCATTACCTATCTCGATAACGGAGTACTTTTTATTGGTTCACGGCTTGGCGATTCTCAACTTGTAAAATTAAATGTTAAAGCTGACGAGTCTGGTTCCTATGTAACCGTTATGGAAACATTTACGAATTTAGCTCCAATCTTGGACATGTGTGTGGTCGATTTGGAAAGACAAAGCCAAGGACAATTGGTTACCTGTTCTGGGGCTTTCAAAGAAGGTTCCCTGAGGATTATCAGGAATGGTATTGGGATTCAGGAACATGCTTCCATTGATTTGATGGGAATCAAAGGAATGTGGGCTTTACAACTAAATGGTGAGAATTTATACCAACTTATTTGTGTAATTTTTGATGTTGCTTGAGAAAGTAAAACTCTGCTCTGCTATTCTCTATTCGACATTCAGAATTATGTAATAACAAGATCGATCATTTTGAATACATGCAACTCTGTATCAAACACTTTTCAAAAAATCACATATTGATAAAGTTACCTAACAATTTATTATTATGTCCGTCAGCTTTGAATAACGTATAAAGTTTCTCATGCATTGTTTTATTTTAGGAGAGTCGCTAGATGATATCTTAGTCCTAGCTTTTGTGGGACAAACTCGTATTTTAAGTTTAAATGGAGAAGAAGTTGAAGAAACTGATATACCAGGATTCACTACAGAGCAAGAAACTTTCTTCAGTGGAAACGTGGCGCATGAACAATTACTCCAGGTATATTTGTATTTAAAAAAAAATTAATTAATTTGTTTAATTTGTATTATTTTTAGGTTACTCCCGTCTCTGCTCGTCTAGTATCTATTCAAGCTAAAACTTTAGTGTCCGAATGGAAACCTCCGACTGATAAACACATTATTATAGTAACTTGCAACTGTTCACAGATTGTGGTGTCTACTGGCAACCAGTTGTACTATTTGGAAATACATCCTAATGAGTTAATATTAAAAGGGTAAGAAAAAGACACAAATAACAGTTCAATGTTTTACAAGTTTTTTTTTAGGGAAACCACTTTAGAAGTGGAAGTTTCATGTCTCGATATAAGTCCTCTAGGGGAAAATGCTACCCGATCTGAAATCGTAGCTGTAGGATTGTGGACTGATATTTCAGCATGTATATTACGTTTACCAAATTTAGATGAAGCCCATAAAGAACTGTTGGGAGGGGGTAATATTTACTCATTAAATTTTTCAATGAAAATATAATATACATATTCTAGAAATAATGCCTCGTTCTATTCTTATGGCAACCTTTGAAGGACAGGACTACCTACTTTGTGCACTTGGTGACGGTTCCATGTACTATTTCTTTTTGGAAAAACATGTTGGAACATTAACTGATAGAAAGAAAGTAACTTTGGGCACCCAGCCTACAATATTGAAAACTTTCAGGTCATTAAACTCGACTAATGTGTTTGCTTGTTCTGATAGACCAACAGTTATTTACTCATCTAATCACAAATTGGTATTTTCTAATGTTAACTTAAAAGAAGTGACTCAGATGTGCTCTTTGAATGCTCAAGCGTATCCTGACAGGTAAAATGTTATTTCAATGGGGTATTATTATTTTTTTAATTTGTCTTTTAGCTTGGCACTGGCAACAACTACTTCCGTTACTATTGGGACAATAGACGAAATTCAAAAGTTACATATAAGAACGATTCCATTGCATGAATCACCAAGGAGAATTTCCTACCAAGAAAGTAGCCAGGTAAGTTTTGGTTGAACAATGTAAATTTCAACAACTGATTCCTGTAATTGAAGACATTTGGAGTCATCACTTCCCGGATAGACATTCAAGATTCAACAGGCTTAAATCCAGTAAGACAGAGTGCATCAACTATGAGCCAAGCAATGACAGTTTCCAGTGGCGTTGCTAGCTTAGCAATGGGAAAATCTGGTAATTCAAGTTCAATGGTCACAGGTAAAAATATTTTATTTTAAAACCATATTAAATATATTTGATAAATTATCTAGGTGGCTCTGCAGAATACGGTCAAGAAATTGAAATTCACAATTTGCTAATAATCGATCAAAATACATTTGAAATATTAGCCGCCCATCAGTTTATGCAGCAAGAGTATACCATGTCTTTGATTTCTTGCCAGCTAAGTAACGATTCCAATACATATTTTATTGTTGGTACTGCCACAGTAAACCCAGAAGAATCCGAACCGAAATCTGGTCGAATAGTAGTGTTCCATTTTACCGATAACAAACTCGTGCAAGTTTCGGAAAAAGAAATTAAAGGAGCTTGCTATTCGCTTTCTGAATTTAACGGGAAACTATTGGCTAGTATTAACAGTACAGTAAGATTGTTTGAGTGGACGGCTGAAAAGGAACTACGATTGGAATGCTCTCACTTCAATAATATTGTATCACTTTATTTGAAAACTAAAGGGGATTTTATTCTTGTTGGTGATTTGATGCGCAGCATTACTCTTTTGCAATATAAAACTATGGAGGGTAGTTTTGAGGAAATTGGTAAGTTTAGTATTTCAATATTTCAGCTCGAAAATAATTTGATTTCAATTTATAGCACGTGATTATAATCCAAACTGGACGACGGCAATCGAATTCTTAGACGACGATATTTATTTGGGAGCAGAAAATTGTTTCAATATGTTTGTGTGTCAAAAAGACAGTGCCGCTACTACGGATGAAGAAAGGTCTCAGATGCAACAAGTGGGACATTTCCATGTGGGAGATATGATAAATGTTTTCAGACATGGATCCCTGGTGATGCAAAATATTGGAGAGACTTCAACGCCTACAAGGGGCTGTGTTTTGTTTGGAACGATTGGAGGCGCTATAGGTAATATTATTTTTCAATTTAAGCAAAATTACCACATTTTATTATTTTCAGGTTTGGTTACACAAATTTCCCAAGAGTTTTACGAGTCTCTGCGTGATTTACAAACCAAATTGGGGTCTACAATTCAATCAGTAGGTAAGATAAGTCATCAGTCTTGGAGGGCTTTTCATACAGATATAAAGACTGATAACTCTGAGGGATTTATCGATGGCGATTTGATTGAAAGTTTTTTGGATTTACCACCCGAGACAATGAGAGAAGTTGCTACTAGTTTGGGAGTAAGTAGAATTTTTATTTTTTAAACAGTTTGTGTCATTGAAAAAATATTTTTAGGTGACAGTTGACCATTTAATTAAGACAGTAGAAGATTTAACCAGAATACATTAGTGGTTTTCCTTTTTAAATGTTTTTCGTTTCCATTAATTATTAAAATCCAAGATTTAATTTGTGTCTCGATTTGTGTATTAAAGAGTTTTTACTGTCTATATTTTAGCAGTAGTTTTAATTTTGCTTTTGTTTTCAAGTTTTAAGAAAAATGTTATTTAATTTTGGATAAAATAAAAGCAACATAAATATTTAAAACAATTATATCAACTTATTTTATGCCCACTTCTCACTTGCAGTGAATTTCTAGTGGAAATTCAAGAGTTTGTCCGGTTTAAGTATACTGGAACCTATGAATTACAACCCACAGTCATTATTTTAAGTTTACTAACGAAAATAGTGTACTTGACTGCAGTGACACTCATTTCATGACAGTGTAAACTTTTTGGGCTCATTTATATACAGTATACAGTTGGCAAAAATAATATTAAATTTTTGTCAAAAAAACATGTTATAATTAAATAAAACTAATATAAAGAATATGATTAAGCAATTTTATTTTTATTTACAAAATTATTTTAGAATATTTCTCCTTGCACACACACAGTCAATTCTTTAACATTTACATGGTCAGGAGTAGACAAAATATAGAGAACAGTTTCAGCAATGTCCTTGGACTCCAATCCGGCTCTACTTTTCAAACGTTCATCTATTGCCTTTCCGAAAGCTCTTTCAATAAAGTCTGTAGCAACATATCCAGGACTTAAACTGGTAATTTTAATCGGTAACTTTTCCCTGTTAATTTCCAAACGCACTGTTTCAGTTAAGGCCGTTATTGCATGCTTGGTTGCAGGATAAACACTGGCATTGGGAAAATCATAAACACTATGACCTGCCATACTGTTTACATTGATTATGTGGCCTTTCAGGTTGTGCTGTTTCATGCTTGCAACGGCTTCCCTGATGCAAATTGCTACTGCGAGAATGTTGGTGTCCAAAACCGGCTTCCATTTTTCAATGTCGCCACCAATGATGTTGGTTTCTATTGATAGGCCTGCGTTGTTGATTAAAACGCTTATTGGGCCATGATTTGTAGTAATTTTTTTGAATGTTGTTAGAATTTCTTGTTGATTGGTCAAGTCACATTGGAAAGCGTGTAATTTACCTTTTTCATTGATAAGTTGTTTTGAGTGGTCTTCCAGACGATCAACTCGTCTGGCTAAGCCTGCTACGATAACGCCATTTTTCACTAAAAGTTCAGCTACAGCTTTTCCGATTCCGGCAGAAGCTCCAGTGACTACAGCTACTTGCCCAACGAATTTTTTTAGTGATAATGACGACATTTTTTATTTAAACTGAAGGAAATATTCAATAATCGAATGTATTTATATCTAAAATATCTTGAACAGCACTTAGCGATAGGCAAAATTTTGAACCAGATAACAAATCAAGTTTATAGGTATGCAAACATTTTTTTTTCACACTCAAATACATAAATAACACATAATACATAATCTTATGTCGCCATCAGCGGCTATAATTTTTGGAATGATTTTGGAGTCAGTGAATATATTTCTGCTTCGTTTATATCAGAAATATGCTGACTTTCATCAGTGTACTTAAGGTTCTTGATCGTTAGCTTTTTGCTCATTTATTTGTACTGGGGGGTAAAAGAAACACAGAAAGTTGGAGATTACTCAAAAACATGAGGAAAACACAAACTAAGGATATTATCAATACAATAACACCCCAAAATTGGGAAGAGTACTTTGAAGAATTACTGACAGAACAACGAGCAGATTTAAAGAAGAAAGGGAACAGACACGAAACATAAAAACTGCAGGATCACCTATAAGAGTTATGCAAGAAGAAGTTGAAAAACACTGTAGCTTCTTGAAAAACGGTAGGGCACCAGGCCCAGGAGAAATATATGGAGAACTGATAAAGTTTGGGACCAATAAACTCTACAAACATTTAACAAAACTATTTCGAACATGCATAGATAAACAAGAAGTACCGGAAGAGTGGAAAGTAAGCTATTGAACAACGATATATAAGGAGATAGAAACAAATGCGAGAACCACCGAGGAATTGCAGTAACAAACACACTGAGCAGAGTGTATGGAAAACTCCAGCCAGAATAGAGAACAAGTTCAAAGATAGGCAGAAGAACAGGCCGGTTTTAGAGCAGGAAGATCATTTATTTAGTTTGACCCAGGTAATAGAAAAGAAACTAGCGTATAACCAAGAACTCCATTTACTCTTTGTAGATCTAAAGAAAGCATATGACAATGTACGACAATGTGTCTGCGATGAATAAATATTTCCCAGGTTTGTAAGTAACTTTCAAGTCATAGTTAAGAAGTTGAAGTAGCATGCGTTGCAATCTAGTAGTTGTTGTTGAACGAAGCTATGGATTTCAGTCAAAGTACATTTGTTCTCAGCATCTAAATATTCTTTAAGTTTATTTTCTCTATTATTGGTACATATTTTATGAATATGTAATTATACTTTAATTGTGTCGGTTTTTAAAAGTACCTATCTTACTTGGGTATTTCATTTAAAATAAAATAAAACCATCAAAAATAATTATGTACAATAAATACATTAACTTTATTATAACAAATTTTATGTACCTGCTAAACCATTCTCTAGTTCATACTGTTCATAAGCAAATTCTTCAACATGTCTTGGATCATATTCTAAGCCGATATAGTCAATTTCCAGTGAAAATGGACCGCCGTGTCGATCTTGAGCGGATATACCAAAAGCTGAAATCATATCTAGCCTGATTGCCCTTTGTTCATCTTGAATTCTTCCTTTAGAAGCAAAAAAGAACTTGGAAAAAGGAATCTGAAACAAGGTGAAATATTTAATTTCTCGTTATTTATGAAATGTTTGCTTACTTTGGCAATTTGCCAATAGGGTCCACCTCTAGTATACAACTGATAATGGTACATATCATTCCAAGTCATATCAAAATAGCCTCTTGTAGCTAAATTTAACAAATATGTCCTTCCATCTCCTCTAACTTTCATTACCAGTGTATTATATCCTGTCCAGTCATAATATGCTTCTCTTTTAAAAGACCTCTAAACAAAAAATTGTAATAAAAACAAAGCTATTTAATACAGAATTATTATTACCCTAGGGGCAAATGTTTTCATATTACAATATCCAGCCCTCTTCACTCGGCCATCCTTGGGTACTCTCAAATTAATATTACCACTGAAAACTCCATTACCATGATTATTTCGAGTTAAACTACATTGACTGTATCCTTCATTATGGTCTGCATCACAAACAACCTTCCATTTTTCGAGAGACTCTTCAGTCTTGAATCTCCACGCTATGTCAGTTTCTCCTGGCCGGTGAATGAGAATTGGATCTCCTGAATAATAAATAATTTACTACTATGGAAAATGAGGAGCTTGAAGTACTACCATCAAAGGCTTCTTTGAACTCTTCTTTCCATAAAACCACTTCCTTTCTAAGTTCCGACAGGCCCACTTTCATACGTGTAGTAAATGGTGGTAGTGGATCTGTGTAGCCACCCTTGTCGTCTTTTTCCCAAAAGAGGCATAGCTTTTCTGTGGTGCTTATAGCTCTTTTTCCCAAGCTATTAGCTAAATTGGCCGAACAAACCAATCTTCCTAGTAGTGAATTCATTCCAGCATCATTTAAAATGTTTGGAATTTTTATTGTTATGAAAGATGATTTTTTTTAGGTTATGTCATCACTTAACCACAAACCAGCTGTTTTTGACGTTTGTGGTTCCGATCATTCTGAGATGCTTTCCAGTGACCCATTTGAGTTACTCCTGAGCAGCTCAGCCACAATTGCTTTGCGCGTTCCAGTGCTTAGAGTGTCGTACACTTGAGCTACTCATTTCTGTTATCCCCTGCCCCCTCGTGTACCAACCCTTTTGTCTGTGTTTCATGCTCCTGAAATCCGAAATGGTGGGGGTTAAGACGAGAGCGTTCCAGTGCTGCTTATGTCGAACAGTTCAAGAGCGTCACACTTCAGGAGCATGATACTCTAACAATTTAGGCACTGGAAAGCGGCACTGATATCTCGCAGGTTTAACTAAAAAGAGACAAAAAGAAATCCCAAACTGGGTTGTTTATTTCTGTAAACTCCTAGTAGTTGTATTCCTTTCAAGAGCTTGAACACTCGAGCTACTCGCTCCGGTGTTTAGTCGCCCCCGATTTGCAGGGAACAGATGCCTGGTGCAACTACCACTTTTCGAAAGGAATAAGCGCGTGAAGCCCTGGAGCTGTTCCGGAGCTCCTCCCACGTGTGAAAGGAATACAACTATTGTTGTTCGTTTCAGGGATGGAAGACAGTCAAATTTCGTGTACGAAATGTACTCGAATGGTTTCGAAAATCGCACCCCTGTTCTGACCAATGAACTTTCTGACTGTTAGAGCCGTTTTCCAGTGACGAATTTTAAGGTGCTCCACACTCGTAGCTTCACGTTCTGGTGCTCCAAACAACTGTTGTGTCACTGAAACGCACCCTACTTCAAGATCAAGCGTCGTGTTTTTGGTGCTCCCATAAAATTTTAGGTGCTTGAGAGGGCAGGGGAGAGGAAAATCGAACAGTTCAGTTGCGCGAAACTCTAAAGAACTGGAACGCCTATAAACAGTCCGGGGCGCTCTAGAGCAGCTCAGGAGTGCTTAAAATACATCACTGGAAAGCGACTCTAATCTAGGGGGTGAAAAATAGGTGTTTTTTTTTTTTTTAAACCTGTACCATAATCGAATTACGCATTCAGTCTAATGCCTGTATGCACCATTTTCAGGTATTTTCGTAATTAGCTAATCAGGGCTAATTATGTAATCACGGTTAAAAAAGTCGATTCGATGTACCAAAGGATTTTGCATTTGCCTGGTATGCACCATTACACAAATTCTCTGATTAAACTTTAGCCGTGATCACATAATATTTTTCGTATGCACCAAGCGTTTTTTTCGCCTAATCGGCAATTGACCTTTTGTTTGGACGCCATATTGCGGTGCGCGAACATAGTTGCCAAAAGAAGAAAACAAAAATTACTAGCGGGCTGTCAACATTAAAAACAAAAGTAACTAATGGCGATTTCCATTTGTCAATCATTGCGCACTGAGTGTATCCGCATCTTTTTCTAAAAGCATGTAACATGTAAGGATAAGGATTAATTTTTTGGCGATTTCCATTTGTCAATCTGTGCGCACTGAGTTTATCCGCATCTTTTTCTAAAAGCATATAACATGTAAGGATAAGGATACATTTTTTTTGCACTGGTTCGACAAATGGAAAACGCTATAAATGATTGATCTTCACTATCCTTATTATTTCTATTCTGTCCAATATAAGATAAAATTGATGGCTTTTCTTTTCAAAAACCAATGAACTATAGTCAAAAACTGGAATGCACATACATTGCCATATCTGCCAAAAAAATGTAGCCATGAAAGACAGATGCAACAAACCTTGCGTTTGATATTTTGCTCAAAGTGTAGAGCGAGCTGAGCGGAGCCGTAATCACGTGACCAGCGAGCGAACGGAGCAGTTGAAGTACCGGAAATTTTAATAAACGAACGCGAATGAGGCTGCACCGAGTACACTTTTTAAATAAACGAACGGTAAAGTCAAGCTCGGAGAACTCAGACCAAAATAACGAACGCACGGAAAGGAGAATGTTGTTTTTTTTTGTTGCTCGCTGACATATGACGTTTTGGAAAGTTTTGTCATATTTACCTTCACAGGGTTCATCAATTGGAATACGTGTTGGAAGCAATTTCCGCCATTTAACATAATGAGTGCGACAAAAACAGGTATCCAAACATCCGTAATAGGCGGCAAATTTAAATTTCAAATGTAATTTATTGTAACTTTTGTTTTTAATGTTGACAGTACGCTAGCAATTTTTTTTTTCTACTTTTGGCAACTATGTTCGCGCACCGCAATATGGCGTCTAAACAAAAGGTCAATCGATGGCCTGGTCAAGGATTCTAAAATCACGATTCGACATACGATTCGACAACGAGACGATTTTTCCGACGATTCTAGGTTAGAAATCTCATTGGAATTATAGCTTTCGACACGACAAGGCCGGTATCGTTGTCGAGTCGTGTGTCGAATCGTGATTTTAGAATCTCGGCCCTGGAAGGAATTGACCTTTTGTTTGGACGCCATATTGCGGTGCGCGAACATAGTTGCCAACAGTAGAATAAAAAAATACTAGCGTTCTGTCAACTTTAAAATCCAAAGTTAGTGAATAAATTACATATAAAATTTAAATTTGCCGCCTATTACGAAAGTTTTTAGAAAGAAAAGCCATCAATTTTAGCTTGTATTGGGCAGAATAGAAATAATAAAATATCTAGTTCACAGCCCGCTAGTAATTTTTGGTTTTCTTGTTTTGGCAACTATGTTCGCGCACCGCAATATGGCGTCGAAACAAAAGGTCAATTTACCTTGCGTTCGGTATTTTGCTCGAAGAGCAGAGCGTGCTGAGCGGAGCCGTAATCACGTGACCAGCGAGGGAACAGAGCAGTTGAACGCTATATAAAAGTGCCAGAAATTTTAATAAACGAACGCGAATGAGGCTGCACCGAGTACACTTTTTGAATAAACGAACGGTAAAGTCATGCTCGGAGAACTCAGACCAAAATAACGAACGCACGGTTAGGATAACCGGGGCTATAATGAAATGAGGTTAGAATGTTTTGTTTTGTTTTTACATTTTAAAAACATTTTTGTCCCCAAAAAATTACTGGAAAAATAGTGTGTGGCAAGGGTGAGCAGGGAGAAATCAAATAAGGAATATGGAGATGGACCACCTATCATTTGACGAGGATTTGGATACTGATAAATAATGATTGTGTTAGATGGGCTTCCAACGCGTTGGAATGAGACGGAAAATTATTTTGAAGTCTTGGATGGATGATCTTATAAACCAATAGTCGTAGATCTTCCTGAAGAGGTGGAAGATGCCCTAACTTAACTTATGATAGGGTGGTAGTATTATATGCAATTTTATGGCTTGATTCCAGTAACTAATGACTATGTAATTACGGTAATTACTGTTTATTTCAAATAAAATGCCGAGGATGCTTTGTTTGTTTGTGTATACTGTATACCTAAAATTTATTCATCGAAAAAAACGCAGATATGGGGTCTCGCCAACCCAAAATTGGCTATTATCAGTGCCAAATACTGGAACTGATCTTCACAGTGGGAACTGATCCACTGCAAAATAAACAGGTCCTGTCCAAGTTCGAGTTCAAGTCCGGACCACTTTTGCGTTGTCTACGTTGTACGGACTCGGAGTCAAACTCGAACTAATCGGAACACGCCGCGCCGGCCAGTGGAACAGGAAAAAGTGTGGACTCGGAGTAGGGACACAGATTCAGAGACGGAGTACATTACACCGACAGACTCGTTTCGATCAACGGCTCCGGATTGTCGGGATCACGCCGCACCGGTGCGGCCGCTGGAACGGATAGAGTACGAGAGTGAACCGCCGATAAGATATAAAGCTGCTTTCCAGTATGTAGCTGTATTCCTTTCAAGAGTTTGAAACACTAGAGCTACTCGCTCCGGTGTGTCAACCCGATTTGAAAGGAACAGATTCGCCGACTTTCGTGCATTTATGGTTTACTTTGGGCTTGAGTACTCAGGTGCAACAAACACTTTTCGGAAGGAATAAGCGCGTAACGCCCCGGAGCTGTTCCGGAGCTCCTCATACTATTCACCATTTTCACGTATTTTCATTATTAGCTAATCACGGATAATTATGTAATCACGGTAAAAATGTCGGTTCGATGCACCAAAGGATTTTGCACTCAAATTAGTTAATTGTGATTTTGTAATGAGGGCCACCTGAAAGGAACTCACCGATAACGTCGCAAATTTCCTATAGATTTTAATAAAAGGCAATAAAAGCCCATTTTGGGTTGGCAGTATGTGGGGTTGGCGAGACCCATTCTGCGTTTTTGTCGATGAATTTTAATTTTATAAACAAACAAACAAAACATCCAGGGCATGTAGGGCATTTTATTTGAAATAAACAGTAATTACATAGTCATTACCTAGTTATTGGAATCAAGAATCAAGTCATAAATTTGCATAGAATGTAGGTACTACACCCTATAATAATGTTAGGGCATCTTCTACCTCTTCAAGAAGATCTATGATCTACGACATTGGCTTATAGATCAGATCATCCAAGGCTTCAAAATAATTTTCCCTCTCATTCCAACGCCTTGGAAACGGAAACCCATCTAACACAATTTCATTATCCAAATTGACCTTTTGTTTGGACGCCATATTGCGGTGCGCGAACATAGTTGCCAACAGTCAACAGTAGAAAAAAAAAATTACTAGCGTTCTGTCAACTTCAAAATCCACAGTAAGTGAATAAATTACATTTAGAATTAAAATTTGCCGCCTATTACGAATGTTTTTGGAAAGAAAAGCCATCAATTTTAGCTTGTATTGGGCAGAATAGAAATAATAGAATATCTACCTTTTTACTTTCATCAATCAGAGAGAGAAAGTAAACAAACAAAAAGGATAGCGAGGATCAATCATTTAGTTACTTTTATTTTTAATGTTGACAGCCGGCTAGTAATTTTTGTTTTCTTCTTTTGGCAACTATGTTCGCGCACCGTAATATGGCGTCCAAACAAAAGGTCAATTAATCATTGTCAAATAATGTCTCTCCACCTCCATATTCCTGATTTCAGTTCTTTTTTTTCCTGGCTCACTTCACACACATTTGTTCCAGTTTTTTTTTTACAAAAATGTTTGTAAAATGTAAATATGAAATTTGAAATCGGAACCAAAACAAACAAAACACCTAACCTCATTTTATTAACTCGCCGCGGTTATGTTGTTCTAAATTCCAGGCCATCCAGCAATTTAAAGTTAATTGCCAATAGGCGAAAAAAACGCTTGGTGCATATGAAAAATATTTTGTGATCACGGCTAAAGTCTTAATCAGAGAATTTGTGCAATGGTGCATACGGGCATAAAAGTCTAAAGTCCTTTAATTCTCACTTGTGCGATATTCGCCCTTCTTGCGCGAAATCTCCCTTAACTCCCCTCCATCAAATTCTGGGATACTCGAGGATCAAGAACACCTTCTTCTGTGAGAATAAACTGAAAATCACCTTTTCTACATTTAAAATCGACGAAAAAACTAACTCACTAGCACAGCCTGAATCGCAAGCAATCCATCGAGGTCTGCGGATGACGTCATCACTACAAGATTCTGATAGTGACGTCACTCGCAGGCCTACGATTGGATGGAGAGGAAGTTAGGGGAGTAATGTCAAAAAAGAGCAAATTTCGCGCAATATGCCTAATCGATATTCATAGCTATCGCAACCCAAGGATGAGACACACTTACCGTGCGTTCGGCATTTTGATCTGAGTTTTCCGAGCTTCAATCCACCGTTCGTTTATTTAAAAAGTGTACCCGGTGCAGGCTCATTCGGGTGCGTTTATTAAAATTTGGGGCACTCTGATACAGCTGTTTCAACTGCTCTGTTCGCTCGCTGTTCACGTGATTACGGCTCCGCTCAGCACGCTCTGTTTTTTGAGCAAAATACCGTACGCAAGGTTAATAAGCACTTTACTACTACAGGATAGCATATCCTCATAAGGCCTTTGTGGAACAAATCACCCTCACCCCTCATGCCAAATCACCAGTTGTGACATAGCAGCAGATTATTAGCCTATCCGAAACACGTGACTGATAAGCAAAATATGTCCGGCAGAAGGATCACAAATTACTCAACTATTTACATAGACTATTCAAATACACTATTTCTAACATTAATAAAAACAACAGTTTTAGGTATAACGACGCAACTAATTCACATTTAGCACTATTTAAAACTCATAACACCATTTGATCACACATATAGAAAGGTTTTGTGTGCCTTTTGGCGGACATTTTAATTTAAGATTGACTGCATCTTGGATAGTCTAATTTCTCGCCTTGACGTGAGCTGTTTAAATAGCCGACGACTTAGTTATGACGTCGGAAATGGTGACACCAATATGGCGGCGATCAAAGTTGTTTAAAACGAGGTTGCCTGATACATTTTATGACGTCAACACTCATCTGTATGCCTCAACATAATGCAAATCTCCATAAGGCACCCAAGATGCGTCATCAAGTTACCTATTACCAGACAACCTATTAACTTCAGGAACCTTGCCGATAAGCAATATTTTAATGTGTATCATTCTTGATAGCAACCATCAAAACATATCGATTTGACGTCACAGATCTCTGCGGGAGTGCTGCGAGAGGGATTATAGGCTGAGTTCAACTTTACACTCGGTAAACTCCGAGCGACCTCGAAACGATTAGAGATCCTGTTTTGGCTCTGAGAGTGTTCTCTTTTGCGTTGATCTGCGTTCGGCTTATGATCGCGTAGGACGTCATGATATCCATGCTCATACTATTCCGGTTCGTGAAGTGCGAAGCCGAATACTCAGCCATAAATAATCCAAACGAGGGCATACTATTTAAAATAAATAGCCGAATGTAAATACTATTGTTTTGATCAAACTCTTTGATCCATCGAATTTGACGGAGCAAGAAAGAGCGCTCCGTGCGAGATTTCACAGCGTTCTATTGCTCAAGTCGAACACGTGATTTTCGCCGAGAGCAACGGTCCGTTTTAAACCGAACATGTGAATTCGTTTCGGATCGCTTTTTGATCAATCGGGTACAGTTTTTAGGTAAAAGTCGAAAGCGCTATTAATTTTTATTTTAGTGGATACATAACGATATGACAAATTTGTATCGATAGGCACCATCATCGAGGGAGTATCGATGTTTATATCGATATCTCTCTATCGATGCTGTGATATCAAGCCTAGTCACCTGAACGCAAAAGAGCGGACTCTTTCGGAGTAAAGCCACTCAACTGCGAAATTCGCACTTTTTTGACATTGCTTTGACAATTTGACGTTTTATGCGTGTATCAAACGTCAAATTGTCGAAGTAATAGGCGATTTCGGTAAGCTTTGGTACATGGTTTGGTACCCTGTTTGGTCTGTCAAATGCATACCAACCAATTTCGGATAGGAAAATGATGTCGTCACCGTGACTTTGGTATCCTTTTTGGTCTGTCAAATAGGATACCGTGGTCAGCAGCACGGTTCTTCTATTTGGTATAAGTGCTATCTACGTCTATTTTCGTTTTGTCCTGCTCTGGAAAATGTAAATAAATGGAAGTTCATTAGAATTTGAATAATTTGAAATTTTTAACAAATATGTTTGTTTTTTTCGCCTTCACTTCCTGTTTTCTCGTATGTTTTGACTGCCAAATAATGTTTGACGATCATTTGAAAAATGGGCTTTGAACGACAGACATGGGGTAACTTTTTTGCTGAATGGATTATGGAATAAGCTTTAAATTTACAGGAAACGCTGAGTTAGCCAATAGGTTACTCAAAGGTACTGTCTAGACAGTGCTGATTAGTGATTATAATAGATTTTAGTCAGTGCAGTCAGTATCTAGTCGCTCCCGAAACTAGAAGAACACAAAGTTAGGTTAAGGCCCGTCTCTTCCCTTCTTTCATCACCTATCAAACGAATTCGGAACAAAATGGTATATTACGTCATTACTATGACGTTGCAGGTACCAATTGGTTAACCAAATGGTATACCAACCAAAGCTTGCCGAAATCGCCTAATGTAAAAAAAAGCGAATTTCGCAGTTATGAGTACTAGGCTTTATTCGGAACTTCTCCAAGTTCGTCAAACCAATAACCCTTTTCACGTGGCTCCGGTTTAACAAACCGCAACATACCGCTCAAATTCGAGTGGTAGGTATCCATGGTATCCATCACGTCACTTTGTAACCGGGTTAGAAAACGGTATGTCATTTCTCTAACCGTTAAACCGGAGCCACGTGAAAAGAACTAAAGGAACCAAAGCGGTCAAGATCTGCTTGGAGCAACAAGAGCAGGTATATATGAAAAAAAAGCCCTTAGCCGCTTTCCAGTATGGGAGTGTGACGCTCGGAGCTACTTGGAGCGTTGAGCTCCCGAGCCTAAGTCCCGAGCTATAAGTATGGACAAACTTCAAGCGTCATGATACTGGAACGGTACAAATCTAGTGCGTGGCGCTCCAGGGGTGCTCTAGAGCGCGCCAATAGTTGTATTCCTTTCAAGAGCTTGAAACACTCGAGCTACTCGCTCCAGTGTTTAGTCGCCCCCGATTTGCAGGGAACAGATGCGTGGTGCAACAAACACTTTTCGAAAGGAGTAAGCGCGTGAAGCCCCGGAGCTGTTCCGGAGCTCCTCCCACGTGTGAAAGGAATACAACTTAATGTGCATACTGGAAAGCGGCTCTTCTGTCTTCAATAGGGAACTTGCACTTTTTTTTTTAATTTCAAAAATGTGTTGTACTACACTAAAGACATAGTCATGCCAAAGCATTAAAAATCAGCCGTTAATTTCTTATAAATATTTGAAGTTACGCTCGAAACATCGCTGAATGAAGATTTTGAAAACCAGAGATAAGATATTATATCCTTTTCCTTATTGCATCAATTATTAGGATGATTGTTATTGTATTTTATTATTTATTTCATATTTAATTTAATGTGCAAGTTCCCTATTACCGGTGCTTGGTGGTCCGGAACACAGATTGTCCGGAATATGGCAACCGGGCGTGTCGAAACTCCAAACTAAAGTTGCGTCGAGACTTCTAAAGGCCCATCCTGAATCAATCTGGTACATAGAGAGCGAAGTGGCACTTCGGCACGCATGCTAGGATAATGTTGTTTAACGTTGGCACCCTCAATTCAATTCCGTGCTAGCATGCACGCCGACTCTGAAGTGCAAGCTTGCAAGCTACAAGCTTTTTTGATGCGTGCCGACTTATGTCATGCGCAGTACGGTAAAAAATAATTTAGGTTATCCTTGCGTTCGGTAGATCAGTGCTGTAAACACGTGTCCAGCGAGCGCACAGAGCAGTTGAACGCTGTATCAGAAGACTCAAAATTTTAATAATCGAACATGAATGAGCCTGCACCGAGTACTCTTTTTAAATAAACGAACTATAAATTTATGCTCGGAGAACTCAGATCAAAATACTGAACGCATGGTTCGTGACCGTACTACACGCACAGTAGACTGAAAATTGAAAGCATTGAGGATGGGTATCAATTTCCCAGCACGCGTGCCGAAGCGCCACTTCGCCATCAGAGGTGGGTTCGGCTTGCTCACTCCGTGCACTCCGAGTGACTCCATTCGCACTCCAGCCGTTCGGGTTAAAGTTCGGGTATTGCTTTTTACCGTATTAGGAGTGACTCCATTAGCTCTGTTCACTCGACTCCAACTCCGCGCCTGAATAGCCGAACCCAACTCAAATTGATTGAGGATGTAGCTTTAAAGCATACTGGTGACGTCATAATGATGAATTACCTAACCTTACAATTTTTACTTTATTTTTACTTGAATTTCAAATCTTGAATTCAGAAATTTTGATTGAATAAGAAAATATTATACAGCATTAAGTTATGCCCTTAGATAAAAATAGACATGAAACGTGGTTTAAAAGGAATATGATGTTCATTGTCACTATACCGTTAGTAATAGGAATTCATTGGGGCTGGTTGAAGTTGCAGCAAGATCCTACATTGGTTGACCCTAAATATAGAAGGAATTTACCTTATTACGATGTAGGTACTCTTTAAATTGCATACTCGAATTGAAAAGCATTAAATTAAACACAAAAAGAATTAGGTACCTACCTATTCAAGGGTCAGGATCCAAGGGGTGTTTCACCCACTAAATTTTGTACACCTACTGTATTTGACTGCATTGATTGCATTGAAGATGATAGTTGACTGCATTTACTTTTGAACAATTTCTAACAATATTGTAGGCTCTACTCACTCGCAGCAACTGCTTACGATATTTCGTGAATGTATATGGAATGTACGCAACTGCACCTCGGACTGCACAGAGTTTATAACGATTGCAAGCGACTCTATTATGACTGCATGAGTCCATGTATTCCATTGACTGCAGGAGAATGTATGGACTGCAGAAGTATGGACTGCATATACACGAATGTATGATACTTGTACACCTACTGCATGAGTGAAACACCCCTTGGTCAGATCGCTGTGTCTCATTTTAAACAAGTATATAAAAAATACTTATAGGTAATAACATTTATACTGACTTAGAGTATCAAGTATTTTGCACTAAGGTAAGCTGGATTTAGAGCTTTTATAATGTAAGACTCAAGAAAAATAAACACATCTAAATCAATAGGGACAATTCATAGTGCAACTGTAAGACTTAAGCATCTTAAGCCTTAAGAATTGGTACAGACCTAGTACAAGTACTTTTTTAAAATTTTACTGATTTTTTTTTCGTAAGTTGTCTTAAGTAGTAAAATACTTGAAGTAGTATCAAATGTACTGAATATCCTACTTTAAATATATTTTTCTAACCAGTACGTACTCAGCTTTTACGAAGAAATAAGTTTACTGTTGACTGTTCAAAAAATCAGAACTAGAAGTCCGCATAAAGAGACAAGCTCACTTTATAGCAATGTATAGTAAAGAGGTAAATTAATTTACTTCAAATCACATGATAAAAATGAAGCAATCAGAGTTGGTTTTCTTGTGTACCCCTTTAAAAGTTACATTTCAATCTTGCTAATTCTGTCTATGTTTCCCAGATGTACCAGATTGCCAAAAAATATTTCACAGGAGAAAGCGCTGAACCACTTCCTGAAAAGCGTGAAGACAAAGAAATCTTTAAAGATTAATTTTATAAGTTCAGGCCTTAGGGTTCTCTTCCTTTGTTAAGCTTTTAGTTGAAATGTATATATTGAATCTTTTTAAGTTTAGTAAAAACAAAATATAAACATAAAACAAGTGTTTTTTTTATGTCTGGAAAAAATACCTTTTGTTTGGATGGACCATAAATAAAAATTTCCAATTAGAAAAGAAAATGATATTTGTGTTAACTTATCCATACAAAAGCTACAACTATATCTCTTAAAGAATAAGAGAAAATTTACGCGTATTATGAGGTAAAGGTTTGACAGATGTTTAAATAGTTACAATGAAGCTGAAGAAAAGGTAAACGATGACCTAAAAAATATTAAAAATTATTCTCCATTATGCAGAGTTCCAGATATATCCTAGCAGTGAAAGTTTACTCTAAAATATGGAAAAGAAAGATAAGTTAGTTGAGACATTATTTTTACTCTTTTACATGGAAGGCTGTTATCAGAATCAAGCTGGGCCTCAAAATTGATCAGCTAGAAAGAGTTCCTGTTAGAAGCTTTCGAACGGACGCGGATGAAGAATGGAGTCCCGAACAACTGGAAGAGATTGACCTCGAATCACTCCGGCAAGCGAAGAAAGAAAGACCAGGAACAAGAAGAATGCTGATCAGAGGAGTGCTGCGACCATCCACGAAGGCACAGGAAAGGCAGTTGGTAGCATCGCAATCAACAGGGAACATAACTAGGTAGCCATTCGTCTAGTATCCATGACGTCAATCCAAGGGAAGAAGAGCCTCGCTTACATGATGGCAGAGGATCTAGGAAGTAAGGGAGGCCGAGCGGTTTTAGTCTCAGTCCACTGACAGGCTTACAGATGTTAGGCAAAAGAAGAGATTGAATCATTATGGATCTGTGTGGAGATCTAGATGAAGAAGAGGAGGTGGTGCATCTTGATAGAGTTAGATCAGGTCGATCTGATTTGAGAGGGAGGCAGTGTTACGAAATTGCCTCTGGAGCTTGGCAAGATTCTGAGAATGTTATTATCTGCGCGACGCGCAAACAATTTGGAGAATTCTATTCAAGTAGGGCCCGGGGCTTTCTGATAAATCCTAAGTCCACTGCTATAAATAGCGCGTAATAGTAGCTTAAGGAACCCCGGAATCTGTGACAATATATAATATATATAATGAAGAAGCAAAAAAAACTCCGAAAGTTTGGTTTTGTAAAAAAGTAAAAATAAACAATTAACTCGACTGTTTCCCAATTATCGAAGTATAGTCACATTGAATACTGGAACGTAGAACATGAACATGGAGGAAAATGAATCAATAGTGTCATGATTCAAAATTGGAAACTGTTTTCCACTTAAAAAAAAAAAACCAAAAATCACTATAATTATGGAAAAACACAACATAAATTAACAAGAGTAAGTACCTCATTGGGAAATCAAAGCATTTAGTTTTTTGTAATTGTTTATTAATTCTCCGACAAAACCCAAAATATAAGCTAACATAAAAAAATAATAATCAATACCTACTAATAAGTCGGTATTGGTTACTATACAACATGCGGCAAAAATTCAAGGGTTGCTTCAGTTCATAATACATATAACCATTTGTCGAAAAATCCATTCAAAAGAAAATTTCGAATGTATTTCATAAATTTCTGACGCTGAATCTGAACTCAGAATTTGTTGCGCTTCAGGAGTTCAGTAACTTGCCAGGATGTAGAAATTTGTAATTTTCTCAAAAACGATATGAAACAAAGAATATATTTTTCATGTAGGTACCTAACAATTTTTAGAGAATGAAATTACCTCTTGAATTTCTGCCGCATGTTTTGAAAACACCCTGTTCCCTGTTCATACCTACTTATTATAATAATGGTGAAACACATACTTATTATTTAGGTGTGAATTAGCAACTCTAGTTGCCAAAAATTGTCAATAAGTGCAAAGTATCACAACTTACATACACTTATTAATAGTAGAGGTAAAAAATATAATTTCTCTATAAGCATTGAGACTCCTAGGAACAAAATAATGTAAATTTAAAATATTTCACATAACTTTTTTAAACAAATACATTTATTTAAAAAAGTTAAACTTTTGTCAGATTGTTGGTAGATGATCAAGTTTAGATTTGGAGCTGGACTGACTGTTCAGATGTTGTCTGCTAGGACTTATTGATTTGTTGCTTAATGGCAGTTGAGGTAGAGACATTGATCCTCCATTGCTAGAATTCTAGAATAGGTACCTGTAATTAACAAGATTTCTTGTAAAATTTTAAAACTCACCCTTGACCTGTTCCTAGGGGGCTTGTCTTCTTTGGGCTTTTCAGTATCGTCAATTTTGAAATTGAACTTTTCAAAGTATTCGTGATTCATTAGTTCAGTACAAGTCCATCTTTTCAAAGGATCTTTGTCCAAACATTTCTATAAAAATTAAATTGAATCATAAACATTCAAAATAACTTTACAAACCTTTAAAAAATCTATTATTGTAGAACTACACATGGGTAATTTTACTTCCAGTGGTATCAAATGATGAGGTTGGGGCAGTATAACACCTTGAAAGAAATCGTTCGACTTGAAAGCTTGCATATGCCTGGGCAAAAGGTCTCCAACAGTACATCTGATAATATAAAGCTGGTCAACGTCAGATTTTCCAGGCCACAAAGCTTCACCTTTTATAAGCTCGGCCATCACACAACCTGGAAAAAAAAAAATTAATTTCTTGAAATCAAATGATTATAAGGTACCTATTGCCCATATATCCACAGGAGTACCATATTGAGTATCCCCAACTAGTAGTTCAGGAGAACGGTACCATCTAGTAGCTACGTAATCTGTATAATTTTCGCCAGGATCTGAAAGATGTTTTTGAAAAAAAAAATAAAAATTGTAACATGAGTGTGCTCTTACTTAGCATTCTAGCAAAACCAAAATCGCACAACTTAACCACTCCAGCTGAAGTTAACAATATATTCTCGGGTTTAATATCCCTATGGATGCAACCATTTTGGTGGCAATAGGACACTCCTTGTATAGTTTGCCAAATTATTTGTTTGGTCACTAATTCTGGTACTCCTCGGGGGTATTTTTCTAGTTCATTCAGAACTGTTTTTTCACAGTACTCTAATACTAAGTGTAATCGGCGTTTTCTTCGAAAAACTTCTAGAAGGTTTACTAAGTTGGGATGTTTCAGGTTCTGAAAAGATACTTGATGATCTTTCTTTTAAATAAGTATGGACAAAAAAGACTTACCTTTAAAAGTCTTATTTCTCTTAAAGCAATTTTTCTTATAAGCGGATCCTCTTCGCTTTCAGTGAACTTTTTAATAGCCACAATCTCGCCTGTATCTCGGTTTTTACATTTATACACCACCCCATAACTGCCTTCCCCAATTTTGCTAATTTTTTCATACCTTTCCATCACCTTGGACGACGTTCTGGTCCTGAAAAGATTCGGAAAAAAATAATTCATAGTTGCTGTTTCACTTTCAAGGGTAGAAAAGTTGTCGACGGACTGATACTATGTAATATTTTATGAAGTTTAATAAATGCCAAATTAGAAATTTAAATGACCTCTTGGTATACACAATATACGTCGCGTGATAAATAAAAATGTCCATAATCCACACGTGATTTTATGGCAGCTTAAAATGTGAGTGTTTAAATATATACAGTGTGATCAATGTATGCCTCATATACATTGCCAGTTTGGCTAGATAATGTAAACAGATTGACCACCGGGTATAGTTCAGTCAAAAAATCTCCAACTACAATCATGCCAAATCTAGATAAGCCATTTCCGTGTAAAAGTATGCATGCTATGCAGATGGACATCCATTATCCGTACATGCTATAATGAAAATAATAGCTATTAGAATTCGGTCGATATTAAAGTCGGGAAACTATTGTGAATCCATTGGGAAACGATAAACTCATTTGTAATTTATGAATAATTGTCGACCTTTACCTTGTCAAACCTTGAACTTATTTTACAGTAAGGGCGATTAATGGGGTTTGTTTTATTTAGACTTTGAGGTTTGTTTTGGAACGCTATTTTTTTTTCCTCTGAATTTTAAGAAAAATGTGGGAGTTTGACTGGTTACAGGCTATAAAACATGGCCTAAATAAAGTACAAAATTTAAAAAAAAAGTTACAATCAGTCACAAGTAAGTTGAGCAATATGTAATGACCCGGGAAAAATAGACCCGTAATTTACAAGGACTTAAATACAAAAACAGTAAATTTAAATGTAATCAAATAACGTAAATTGAATTAAATAATCTAATGTAAATTAAATTTCCAATATTAAAAGAAAAGTTCTAATTTTTTAAATTTAGCATTGACACAAATTAATTAAAATAATAAAAATACGTTCAAATTTTAATAGCCAGTCACCAAGCGTGTGTCATCACATTGAACTCATAAATCAAATCCATGAAAATATTAAATATTAAATAGCAAGGCTGAATTGGGTCCCAAAGAGACAGAAATACCAAAAAAAAAAAACATTATTTACGGCCGACACGAGTTCGGCATCGCTTGATTTAGGTAGGTGTCCTCCACATTATTTCAATTCTCTTGACCCCGATAATCCAGGAAATTGCGACATAGGTATTAGGTTTTAAACAAATAATTATATTTCTTACAAAAGAGGAAGGTTAAAGAATGGACATGACCCGAAATTCTTGGAGGGATCGAAAAATATGAAAACAGCGGTTTTAGAAGTTTGCGATCAGTCTTCAGATCAGTTCAGCTTAGAGTCTTGAGTATTCAGTCTACAGTCTACAGTAATCTAGCAGTCGCCATCAACTAGTTGAGATTTTAATGAGTCAGTCCGGATAAAATTCGCGAAGAATTTCTTTTATTTTGTTGCCTCGGGAAAACGCGTTAAATCGAATCTTTGAGAAAGTAACGGAAAATCGTGAAAGAAAGAACATTCAAATTCGTTCAACATTATGTGCGAACTCTAAAGAATTATTTTAGAATAGTTTAGTGGAAATTAGGGACATTGAAAATGGTGACAAGTTTATTTGACCTTTTATTAATTTTTGCAATGACCATGATGTAAGTGAATTGACAAGACAATGGGACTTTGCAAATATGTTATTAACTTGAGTGAACTTTTGAATATATATTTTTTTGTTTTGTTTAGTATAAATAGGAAATTTTAATGACTATTGAATCTGTGGGCTCTGTCTGATGAAGAGAATTAATGAACATTGAAATAATGATTAGTTAAATATTTTGAACTCTATCTGATTAAAAGAATTTAAATTAAAGGCGTAATATTGATTTGAGATACCTAGAATTGACAGTATTGTTATGTTTGAGTTTAGATTGTAAAGATTCAATTATACCATGTTTAATGTTTTGTAATAATATTCACTATGGCTAAGTTTACGATTTTAAGTAAAGCTTTGTACAAATTTGGCAGTAGGTGAGCGAATTCAGGGGTTTTTAAACGCTTATAGAATTGGACGTTTTAATAATTGTAATGATTATTGTTTTGACAAGTCAAGGAGTTTTGGTTGAAAATATTGTAACTTAATGTAGTAGGGCTCTATAAAAGAGTTATTCAAGTACAAGGCTTTTTTGTTACATTTTATTATAAGCCCAGAGATAGTATAGAGGTGGCTCTAAAGTTAGTATCATTATTTTAGAATAATTGTTTTCTTGTATTAGAAATTTACCATCTAACCTAAATAACAGATTACTTGGTGCGGATGCTACAAATAAGACACTTAGGTTAAACACTTAGTTAAACATCTTGTGCATAAAATATAGATACAATCCTTCTTTTTAAGGTAGTCAGATTTCAGAGGAATTCTGTATCATGCTGACTGCATTAATAAAAATTTTTTATATCATACATGCAGTGAAGAATTTCAACCAATATGAGTGTGACCACAATCCATAGAAAGGAGGAAAAATTTATAACTGAAAAATCTCTAGTACTACACCAATAAGCAATTATTGTTATATCACCAGTCTCAAAAATAAAGTATTATCAACTTTTCTCATTTCGGCCAAATAGCATAAAAACAAATTCAAATGATAAATTAGTGTATTAAGCCTGTATCTTGATTGCAAGTCAAGTAAAATAATTAATCGAAGCTGATTACTAATTACAAAGGACTATCATACCTACCCGCACTAAGTTATTAAAATGATAAAATTATTAAATGTAGATAGGTAATATTATACCTTTATTTATGTGAAAGTAGGTTACCCTTTGCATGATTCAAGCACCTTTGTGTCTTGTTTCGGAAACATTATATCCTAGGCAAAGATCACCTAAGGTTTATCAATAAATATAGGAGGCAATATAAACTTAAAATACACAAATAAAAAAAAATATAATATCCTGCAAGAAACATTATGTTTCTCTCAAAAAGTCAAATGGATTATTGAATAATAAGCTTTTGGAACAATAATAATAGCAGTTTTATGAAATAATTTTTACCCATTGATCTTATCAAAATTGTTTCTAGATCCTAAAAGATCTGACCTTTAAAACTCTAATAGCATAATTAACTATTTCTTAAAAAAGCTATATAATAATATTGATACTTCCACTATCCATAACATAATCCATTTCTATTCTACTTACCTTTTCGACAGTAGTTGTACTTGATTACCAAACAGCCACAGTTTACTTCCGGTAAGCCATCTCTCCATTAGTTAATTTTGGCCAAAGTTAAACTAACCTTTCAGAAAGCGCCTCAGCGAAATTTCCAATGCTGTGTGTTTATAAAACCTGTTGTCGTGGAAACCACTAAACGGTTTTATTGATAAAAATGGGGACTTCCATGAAAATGGATAGGAATGGTTAGAGAAATTTACTTGACTATCTAAAATAGTGAATGTTTTCAAAGTTTCCGAGAAATCTATACATGTGTAGTCAATAAGTAGGTAGTATACTCAGATTATTACAAAACATAAGAAGACTTTGTTGTTTTGGAATTTCTACTTTTGAAAGTTTATACTTTGATATCTAAGAGAACCGCTCATGCTTATATTTTATTGATGTTACCTAAACTTTTGTTGTGGCTCGTTTTTTATAGTTTTTGAAATATTTATTGATATTTTAATAGAAGCTTTGCCGTGACATTGAAGTTATTGAATATTTTCCGTCCGAGGACATTTTTTTTTTTTTTTTTTATCGATTGTTACTGTCCATTTTCATTGACTTACGTCGTGATACATTAGTACAATTGAATTCCTTCGAAATTAGCTTTGTTTGATTAAGTAGGTAACTAAAATAATTTTTTGTTTGAAATGAGGAACAATAATCGCAAAACATATTAGAAATAATAATTAATAGGACAACCAGGAGGAATATTATATTTTTGAGAAATATTCAAACAGGATTTTGAGGAGGGCATTTTGGTATGAACCATGTCAGATACTCAGACTATGGTTTCTGTAAGTCCTTCTTGAATTAGGATCTTACTAAACAAGCTCGGAAAAGGAGATAAGGACAAGGAATGCAATAAGCAGATAGAGAGGAAAAAAAAATTAAAGAGCTGGAGTAATTTCTGCGCAAAGATGGAAAACACCCTAAAAAAAAGCCTCTCAACTGGCAAGAAAAAGAAAAATTGATCAAAAAAAAGATAAAAATAAAATAGAATAAATAAACTTGGTAGAAAAGAGTTGCTGTAATTTATAAAGGAGAAGTCGAATTGCTGGCAGAAATCAAAGAAAGAACAGAAATAGAAAAAGGGTGAAAAATATATACATAAACAATAATTACCACAGCAATAAAGGAGAAGCAAAAAAAAAAAAATGCGTAAAAATGAATGGAGAAAAGACGAAAAGATGAAGAATAAAGAGACAGAAGAGCAAAAGTAATACAGAGAATAATCAAAATTTATTTATGTTAATTACAAAATACAGTGTTTACACACGTCAGACAAAAAAAAAAAACAATATGTACTTAATAATAACAGCATTAGACTATTAGGATTTGTCACAATAGTAACATTCGCCAATAAGGCTTCATAAAAGGATTACAATCTGTTAAAATAAATGTAATGACATAACTATAACTCTACAACAGGATCCAAACATTAAGAAAACACATAGTTCTAAAAAAAAGAAAAATGTTAATGTTTTGTAGAAATCTGCTGTTTACAACTTGACAGCTCATAAAACGACATTTAACTAATAAACAGAATTTAATTAATAGGTAGTATAATATAATCAACGTAATTTCAACCCGCAGAACAATAATGCTTGATGTCCTACTGCAGAGCGTAGAGTGGGAATGATCCAATCCCTCGCGCTTGCTGAAAAAAACGATGTGTTTATGTAACTTTTACTTTGTTACCAGAAATCAGGTGATTTCTTTTACAGTCGGCCATGCTACTTCTTTTTCCACCCCACAAAAAATATCTTCACTCGCCCTGGAAATTGATACAATAAGAAAACATTCAATATAATGCAAAAGATACTAAAGAGTGGGTTAGATATTGTCGCTGATGGCCAGTCTTCGACAATATCCGTTGCCCTCACCAATTTTACACATACAAGTAAATCAACTGTAAAATATAGCTTAGACTACAACGCAGCCTAAATGAGACGTTTCTCAGATAGCTATAGACCCAGTTTCTGAAATCTTTTCAGACTTGGATTCACTACTACTTTCAAAAGCAGCTGAAAACGGTTTCATGCGGTCAGCTGAGCTAACCCCTCTATAAATTTTCTGTGCACGTTTTAAGCTCGGAAAATCCTCTACTATATGCCTCTTCTTACTCTTGCTATCGTTCGAAACGTTTGCTCTCCTAAGAACATCTTGGGCCCCTACACACTATATTTTTGACACTTCTTTCGTTTAGCGTCAAAGAATGCCTTTTGCTTACTTTGAGCACTCTCAATTTGCAAAGAAGCCTCTTGCCTTGACGTTTCAAGGTCATTCTCTACTGAATCATCTACTACAGCTATGCTCAAAAATGAATAACTCATGGCCCTTGGTTTATACCAAACGAATGGTTTGTAGGGACTCTTCCCAGTAGAACTATTCATCCAAACACAATAGAACTCAGTGACGCATCCCATTTTCTCTCATCATCGTGAGAAGTAGTGATGGCCAGTTCTATTATGGCCGTTTCCACCAACTATTTTAGGGGAGCCCCAACGATAAGTATTCCCTGAACTGACATTTCTCCATGTAAAAATGTCATTTTAGGGAATACTTATCGTTAGGGCTCCCCTAAAATAGTTGGTGGAAACGGCCATTATACCTTGCCACCTGCCCGTTAGCTTATGAAGTCCCTGTGGCATTTAAAACCAGTTTAATACCTAGGTCCTTTACAAAATTTTGAAATAAACCACTTGTGAAGCAGTATCACAGATTATTCGTCTTGGAGTACCGAAAAAGTGAACTATACTCTCCAAAAAGGTTATCACCGGTTTCGTCTTCGTGGTTGGTACTGCTTTAGCGTGTACAAAATTTGTGAAAGCATATATTGCTACAATCAGGTAAGAGTTACGTTTCGTGCTCTGAACAAATGGCCCCAGGTGGTCAATGTGAAGAGTGTCCATTGGGATTGCCACTTTTTCGATTCTGTGCAGAAATCCTCCTTGTTTTCCTGCTGGTATGTACCTTATTGCATGCGCATGGCAAACGAGCAGATATATACCGGCTCACATATTTCCGCATTCTGGGAAACCAATATTTACTAGATATATTCTGCAGCGTTTTTTCAGTGGCGGAGTGACCCATATTATCATGATGATACATAGTAACCACTCGTCGTCCTGTTTTTGGTTCATACCATTTTGGACCATTGTGGGTTTGCCTATATAATTTTTTGTCCTTCAGCAAATAATCTTCGTGGACTTGCTTTTCTTCGTTGGTCTTTGGAGTTTCAGACAGAATTTCCAATATTTTCCTGGATTGATTATCCTCTATTATCCTTAATTTGCATCGACATAACCCAATTCTCCTGGGTGATATCAACTTGCAATACGACTAAGAGCATCGACATGTGTCATCTTCGAACTCTGAAGCTATTCTGTACTCTACCGTTAAATTGAATTCTTGGGTTATTTATTAGCCACCATCTGGCAATTCTAGGAAAGGGGTCACGTTTCTGCATTGCCATTCTTGAAGCACTACAGTCGGTTATAACTTTGAATGACAACCCCAGTAAATAGACTCTAAACCGTTGCAACGAGTTGACTACCGCAAGCGTCTCCAGCTCATAGGAATGATATTTTTCTCTATCCTTTGTTGTATGACGGCTAAAATACAATACTGGCTAAGTTGGAATAGGTTTGTCGTTGGAAGAGAATTCCACCTAGTCCAACTTTGGATGCGTCCGTGTAAACTTCGGTTGGTAACTTGGGATCATAGATAGCAAGTACGTATAGGTCTTTTTATCAAAACGTCTCTAAGTTTTTCAAAAGCACTATCCTCCGCTACACTCCAACTAAACATTACATTTTTCTTGGTGAGAGACGTCAAAGATCGAGCAATTTGCGCAAAATTTTTGACGTATTTCCGAAAATAACTACATAAACCCACAAACTGATGTACTTGATGAACGTTCTTGGGTACAGGGAACTTTTCCACAGCAACAATTTTAGAAGAACCAGGACGTATCCCAGCAGCACTAAGCTCGTGTCCCAAGTCGTCAATTTGGTTTTGGAAAAAATTACATTTGACTAAACGCAAAGTAATACTCGCATTTTGGAATGTTTGAAAAACCTCTCCCAGAGCTATTAATCCAGATGCCACGATAGAAGAATGCACCAAAATATGGTCCATGTACGCCAACGCCTTAGAGAACCTCATAGAGCCCAATACATGATTGATTGTTCTTTGGAAAACAGCAGGAGCGTTTACCAACCCAAATGGCATCTTAAAGTACTCGTACTGGTCATTTGGAGTCTCAAAAGCGGTTTTTTCTCTGCATTATTCCCTTTCCATTGATATCTGGTGAAAGCCGCTTGCCATATCCAACATAGTAGAAAAATTACAGCCTCTCAAACCTGCCAAATGATCGTCGACTCGCGAGAGCGGATAGTAATATTTTAAAGTTTTCGAGTGCAGGGCGTGATAGTCGACGAACATTCGAGTTTCGCCATTTTTCTTTTTGACTAGAATAATAGGACTCGAATACGGCGAATTTGATTCCTGAATTTATACCAGCTGACGTCAATTCGTTAACTAATTTTCGAACATTTTCTCTTCCAAATGCAGAGAGTCTATAAGGTCTATAAGTTACCGATTTATCGTCCGCTAAACGAATTTTCATTTCTGTATGTTTAATTTCACCTAACTTATCCATATTTTCCGCAAAAACATCTCCATAACTGTTTGAGATATATTTTCTGGAACGCGATATTTCATATCATCTAAAGAATATTTTGACAGGTCAGCAATATCAATTTTGTGACAAGTACTTATATTTTCTGCTTCAGGGACACATGGACTGCCTCTTGCTACCACTTGGTCCCTCTTAAAACTAATTGTCCCTCTGGACAAGTTCAGTATTAGAATCTTGTAGGCTGACGAAGAAATAACACACCTGGGCAGAACATATTCCTTATCAGGCTGCAAGCATCTACGCATTTCTATAAAAACTTCAGAGTCGAGGTCATTTAGAGATATGCAGCTTACTAGGCCAATGTGACCTGACCTTCAGGTATGTTGGTGAAAGCCTCTGCTCTCAGAACGATTTTTTTCCACGGAAGTTTATCGATATTTGGTAGCTCTGCCATATCATTGGGAAACACTCTGAGATTTCCTTCCTGGAAAGAGTCACTGCCTTGTTCTTATTTAGTACTGAGCGGCCAATTAGAACTGGCATAGTTTGCATGTTGTCTGCTACTATTAAAATATCGACTTCATCGACCCATCACCTCGCAATCTGCGCCACCTATGCCATGCTTGCTTTCTTGGCATCTGTTTCGCGAATAAGGACTAGTTCGCACCCAGAATCGACAAATCTCCTGAAAACATGCTCATTTATCTCACATGAAACATAATATCCTTCTCTTGATTTCTGTGAGTGGGTCTCGCAGACCAATGTCTCGTGAGATGAAGCGGCTTTGTTTTTAGGTACGGTAAACTGGCTTTAGTGTCCTAGCTGCTTGCAAACAGCACATTGGTACCGTGGTTTTGGGCAATCTTTGAACATATGTCTGTATTCTTTGCAATTAAAGCACCTTTTATGCTTAGACTTTTGATTATTGTTTCGTTTTTTATTATTATCATATGATCTTTCTTGTGTTCTATGGGACTCGAATCGATCTTTATTAGAAACAGGCACTGATGACAATGCTGATAGATAATCCTTAAATAGGTCTTCTGGAGTGGCATATCGACCTACTTTTGCCCCTGATTGCACTATCGAATTGGGAATACCATCTATGATCATGGCTACTGCATTTTTGCCAGAAACATCACATTATGTCGAAGCAGCTGCATCTTGCTAAAATAGTACTCGAACTCGATCCAAGACTCCTCAGGCATCTTTTTACGTTTAATAAGACTTCTGATAGCTGTGGTAAAATCCTCATGATCTGGGAATGCCTGGATCAATAAACATTTCCACTCGCTCCATGTATGTCGGTAGTTAAGCTCATCGTACTACATTTCAGCCATGTCCTCTAGCTTCGCTTGCATGTGAAATTTTTTTTAGGTTGGCATCCAATCTATTTATTTACGCTAGCTAATCAACTTTATCCAACTACTTTGCACAATTTTAGTGTCGTTACACTTGGGTTAAATTCTGGAAGACACTTAAAATTAAACGTTGTTTTACCAAGTCCTTGCGTTCCACTGTTATCCAATAAATGGTTAACCAAATCCTCAAGTTGCTTGATACGTCTCTGCGAATCGCTTTCTGTCAAATTTGAACTACTGCTTTGTGGAGTAACAAATACATCCGCAGCCTGATCAATTTCATTGACATTTTGGTGCTCATAATGCGAGGTCTTATGGCCGTTTCCAATATCTATACAGGTATTTATTGTCTGATTTGAAGTCGAAATATATGAAAAAAGGACCTCAGAAAAAGTCAATAATCCAAAAATTCACCCCATATTCCTTTGTTACCACCGCCACCTGATTGTGACGGTTGGGTAGGGGCGACTTTGTTTTAGCACTGGTAAAGGCCTTTTTTGTACTGCGGTAGCATGCCACCAGGGACTTTGTTTAAAGTCCCACTGAAAATCTAGGTAACTTTGAACGGATACTTTTTAGTAATCTGATTAGTTTGCCTCTTCCAGTGCGGGTTCTTGCTACCTGAGCTGTACGCACTTCAGCAATCAGTTTTTCTTACTAAACTTTAACATTGGTTTATTGAATAAGTGGTTAATCTTGGTAAGGAAATGAGAGAAAAACAAAGAATATACAGTAAGCTATTAACAAGTTATGTTGAAATGAAATGAAAGAAATTACCTACAGAGCTTTGGAATGATAGGGAGTGAAATTAATATGCGTCCTGTATAGGGGGTTCCTTGATGGTACAAGTTACATGAGAATTTAAAGATTAAAAGATACAGAAAATAAAGACTAGGTTATAATTCTTAGTGGGTAAAAAGTCACGGGCGTCCTCGACAAAGGAAATGACAAAACGACAGGGTAAGATACATGTTGGAAAAGAGATTTTGAGTTGTGAAGCTAACCCTACGGTTTTGTTATTTACACAGGGGAGAAAATAAATAATAGACAGAAAACAACAATCATGACGAATAAATCAAAAAACTTGAAATTGAAACATTACCTAAGGTCTCGGAAAGAGAGTCAGCAGAAAGACGTCAACACTAAACACCAGAACTTCGTTACAGAACTGAATGAATCTAGCAGGCTCACAGGCGTATTTCTATTGGCAGCTTGATGACTCTTTTGGGATTCATATCGGTCGCAAAACATGTGATTTGTTCATGGAAGGAGGAGTCGAGAGTCGTGTTTTAAGACACAGTCATCACACTCTTCCGAAAACCGACTGATAACCCTTGGCTCTTGACACGGTTTCGTCAGAAATTTAGCGACTTAATCTCGCTGGGTAAAATAGCCAATTAATTGTATTACGAAGCAAAAAAAAGATTTTTAGGCCGTTTTGTTACACCTTAACGCATTTTTTTCTCAGGAACTATAAGTTCAAATGAGTTGCAGCGCTTGTAGTCCTCTACTAGGATAAGAATCGCTGGAAATTTCAGCCTTCTATGATAGAAAAAAAGTTATGATTATTCATAGTTTTGAAAAATTCCAAAGTACCATTTTTTTTTATTTTTTTTTATGTGGAGATTTCAACTTGATTTATTTATTGTGGGATTTGGAGCCAAAATCTTTAACCAGGTATTTTCTCAGTTGTAGGGGTTGTAGTCTTCCATTGGGATAAGAATCGCTGAAAATTTCAGGTTTCTATCTATGCTAGAAAAAAAGTTATGATTATTCTGCTTTTCAGAAATTCCAAAGATAGGGTCTTCAAAAAAGACGAAAAATGTAACCGAGGAAGACCTCGCACTCGCTGAACAGACGACCTAAAAAGGATCTCATCAAATTAGGCCTATGTTCAATAATGGACGTAAAAACAGACTGTTTGATGATGATGATGAGACATTGAAGAAGATAGATCCATTTATGTTTTATCGATCTATAGATCAGATTAGAAAAGAAGAAGATACATGAACAATTTTAGGTTCCTCAAAGTCTAATAAAAGGAATACAAAGACTATCTAGAAAAACATTGAACGAGTCTAGAAGATTCAGAAATATTCGAACCAATTGAACCTAACAGAGGAATCAGTCACTGTTGCATTCTAAGCAATCTAAGCCATCTATTTTATCTAGTCATAGACTGTCATGAAAGAAATGAAGAAGAACTTTAAAGAACGATATTGGAACTATGGTCATCAAAAATCAAATTTCCGTACGCAATCTACTTCCTCCTTAGAAGCTAGGTACATATTTTTCAGTTAACGAATAGTAAGATCCTTCACAATTTAAAAATACCACATTATAAATTTCTAAAACATTTATTAAAATTTAAATTCTCTAACAGATATTATTATTATCGGACGAAAATAACAAATTTAAATTGTAGGCACCTTAGTAATAATATTATTGCACATATTTTGATTCCTATAATTAAAAATGCAAAATGGTTTTTATCTCGAAATAGCACAAAATTGTAGACAGGTGCTTGAAAATATTACCCTGTAAAACTCTCGTATAAGGCATACATTCAGAAACTGAATCCCTATTGTCAGTTTGTAAGAAAATTGTTTACATAAAATTGCTGGACTCTAGTTTTTCAGTGTGTCCTTTAGACAGTTTAATCACTCTTCGCATGTATATGTCCATTACCATTGGCAGTATCTTCACTAGAAGCGTTTTCTTGACCTTTCACAGTAAACGTGACATAATATCGCTTATTTTGGTCCAGTTTATCAGTTGGCAGTGAAATGACTTGCTTATCAGCACCATGACTCAACTCTAAAGTTACTGCTTTCTTTGGGTTTATACTTGGTAGAAAACCGGCAGTACCTGGTTTGCAAGCTGTAGAGTTTGCGAAGCCAATTTTTGGAATAGAATGGTGATCAATTTTTGGCACTAAAAATAACCACTATTATGGTAAGCATTAACTTAACTTTAGACACATACAATATGCAGCACAAGGTACTCCCGTATAGGCATGCGTAGCATGCATACATCTATGAGTACTCTGGGTACACAATAACGGATTGAGGTGCTCCAAAGGATCAGGTAAACCTCTTAGGTAAGCCACGTCGATTTTTTGTAGTTTCCTCAACGCATCATACAAAAACTTTTCAAAATTTTTAAATGAGAAATCCTCTGCAATATATCTACCAGCACCAACTGTAGAGGCACACGATTGGTTGTACTGGTCAATAGCTCGCTTTACCAGGACTGCTTCATTGTGCTGACCAGCCCGGATTTGGCTACGTTTTAGATCTAGGAGGTGTTGGAAGATTTTTCTTTCTAGATGATACCTGAAAAATTACGATTTACGCATAAAAAAATTACTAACCAATCTTACTTTTACCTTCTAATATTAGTTTGAATACTTCTAGTAACCGAAGTCATATTAACTCCTCTGTCAGACATATTTTTCCATTTGGGTATCCGACTACTTCTAGGACTAGGCTCAAATCCAGAATCAATTAAATTGCTACTTTCGTAATCACTACCTGCGCTTTTGGATTCTCGTCTTCGTGTTTTTGGTCTTTTTTTTACTTTCTTCTTTTTGGTTGGGGTTAGTCTGGATTCGTCCAAATCTGAACCGCTACCTCTTTCATTGTCGCTATAGGCTGAAGGGCGCGTTGGTGCTGAAAGGTTAGACTCAGAACGTTTTTGTTCTCTGAAAAATCTACAAAAGATCATATTTTAGTGACAATTTTGTATAATTATAGTATTCTTACCTATCACGACTCGTCTCATGAATATTTGGCAAAGAAGGCACCCTATTGTCAATAACTGACTGAACTTTTCTTTCGTGTTCCAGTAACCTATCCAACTGACGATCACTCTTTGAAAGTGGAGTATAAAAAGTTGGAGTTGGTATTTTGCTAGCTCTAAACTTTTTGTGTTCTTCTTTGGTTCGTTTTTTGTGCTGGTTTTCTTCCGACTTTGAGCGTTGCTTATCACTGTGTTTGAGTTTGCTTCTTTTCTGGATGTCTTTGGCTTCTTTTTCGCTCAAAACTTTGAAGCTTTTGTGTTGTTTGGTGGCCTGCTCCATAGAGTCGCTTTGAGGCTCTGAAGAACTGCCATAGTCTTCGTCAGAAATTTTTTCGTTTGGCCCCAATACTTTTACTATTGCTGGCTGGTCGCTAAGCTTTTTTCTTGTTTGCTTTTTGTATGTTGAATCTTCCTTGTCATCTTCTGTAGCTTTTTGCTTTTCACGTGGTTTTCCTACAACTTTGGATACTGGAGCTTTGGTGTCTTCAACTAAAACTTCTTCCACGTCTTGTGGTTTCGACTTCTTTTCTATTTTTGTATCTTTTTTGTCAGTTTCATCTCTGGTCTCATCATCCTTTCTAACAACAACAGCTTTAGTGAGAGATTTGATTGTTTCTTTGGAGGCTATAATTTCATTTGCAATTGCAGCTGCGTCTTGCTTTACTTTAACTTCTTCTCCAAAGACTTCAGCAGCTGCAGTATCAACTTCTTTTACAGTAGCTTCTGCTTCCATAATAACTTCTTCAGGCTGCTTTTCAGTAGTATCAATTTCAATTTTTTTTTCTTCTTGAAACACTGTAGTGCCATCTTTTTCAACTGTAATCTGCTGAGCTATTGTAGCACTTGTTTGCTCAACTATGTCTCCATCTATTGCTTCTTTTTGTTCCAAACCACTTTCAGTAGTTTTAAGTATACCTTTCACTGGTACATCTTCAGTTGATGCAATTCCTTTTGGTTCTGGATGTACGCTAGCTTCAACAACAACTTCATGAGAACCTTCAACTTCTTCACTAGTATTTGAAATTTCTGGTAATTCCAGGATTTTCACATGTTGTTTGTAAGTGTCTATAACAGTATCCATTGTGTCTTCTGAGGTACCAGTACTTTGACCTAATATTGAGGATGTCATAGTATCGTTGATTTTTGCAGATGCTGGCCTAGAAAAGGTTTCTTTATCGCTGGTAGATTTCTCTTTGCTTGATTTGCCAAACTTAGCACTTTTTGGACGTTTTTCTTTGTCGCTTGCTGTTGATTTGCCACTAGCAGGCACAGTGATTTTTTCGCTAGTATCAAATTCAACTTTTCTGTTATTGTCTGCATCGACAGTTATTTCTTTGGTTTGATGTATGTTGATTTCAGTTTTTCCATTAATAATTATTTCGTTGCTATAATCTATTCTGCTTGATGCAATTTTCCTAGGTGAATCATCTAAGGCACTTGCAGACGTGTTTGTCGCAGTATTCACAGTTGTAGTTGTTTTAGCACTAGCAAGTTTTTCAGTTTGCACTTTAGCCGCCTCACTTTCACTTTCGGATACAATTTTTTTCTTACGGTTCCTGAAACTGGTTTTACGTTTTTGGACTTTTCTAGCGCTTCTTCCCTTTTCCGCATCACTATCCGAACTGCTGTCGCCCCAAAAAGTGACGTCGTCTCTTATTTGAACGCTCAGCGAACTGCTGACTTGAGCGTCTGGATTTTGATGACCTCTCAGGCGGTTAGCTGGAACACCTCCGTGGAGTTGTAGATATTTGGCTGTGGAACGGTAGCCTCTTTGAAGAGCACAGTCTAGTGGGGTCATAAAAATGTTTTTGGATGTTCTTAGAATGGGATTGATGGAAGCTCCTGAATCTAGTAAAATCTGCAAAAGAAAAAAAATACTTTTACAACTCACGAAAAATCAATAAAACCAAGGAATCAAATCAATTGCCTGAAATTTCTCACTGTAGTACTCAAACAGGGAATATAAAGCGTCGCCAAAGGTCACTGAGTAATATTCAGAGCACTCAGAGCTCACAAATACAAAAATCTTAATGATAATACTCCCACCTTTTGTTATGTTTGAATAACTTCAATGATACCAAGTTTCTTGCAAAGCTCTTGAAATGTATTTCTGGGATGCGCTTTTGTGAATATATCTGCCTGCTGTTCTTGTGTATTCACACAGGAACAATATGTCCAGCTTCATATTTTTCTCTCACAAAGTGATACTGGCCATCAATATGTTTTGTCCCATTGTGAAATTCTGGGTTTCGTATGAGTTTTATGTAGCTCTGATTGTCAACATTCAAAATTATAGTGTCTTCGTGAAGGTCGAATAACAACATTTGCAACCAGATGGCTTCATTGGTGGCTTGTGAAGCAGCGACGTATTCAGTCTCAGTTGTTGACAGTGTAACTGTTGGCTGTCTCTGGCTCGACCATGTTGTGGGTCCATTGTATAACTTGTACACGTAGCCACTTGTTGAACGTCTTGTTTGAATATCACTAGCATAGTCAGTAAATCCACGAAGGTTTGTGTTTCCCTTTTTGTCAAACTCAATGCACTAATTTTTTGTTCCTATAAGGTATTTAATTATTCGCTTGACTGCATTCCAATGGTCTGAGTTTGAACAATTTAGGAATCTGCTTGCCACTCTCACTGCATGGGAAATACCAAGCCTTGTAACAGTGGCTAGAAACATCAGAGAGCCCACTGCTCCCCAAAACAATTATTTAATTCATCTAAAACTGTATCAATCGCTGATGTTTGAGATGAGAATATCAAACCATCATCTACGTATATCACAAGCAGGAGTTTTATATCTTTGACGTACCCTGTGTAGACACATTTGTCTGCTGTCGAAGCTTCAAAACCAAAGTTTAGTAGAAAAGTGCTGAATTTCTTATTCCAACATCTTGGGCTTTGTTTCAAGCCATACAACGACTTTTCTAGCTTGCAAATAAAACCTTCTTTGCAGTCCACACTGAGAAAATCTCCAGCCAAAAACTCTTTGCTGGTGTATTTTCAGCTATCCCAACTAGGGTTTCCATAAAGGTTTTTCGGAATTCAGGACAAAGGAGTCAAGAAATCCGGACAAAATCCGGACTTTGCCGAAATAGCTATTTATGCAACAAGTGTGTAAAGTGAACCTTTTTTCACAAATGTGAAATTTGATGCACGAGCCAAAGGGATACACATATCGCATACATTTTTTCTACTATCAATAAAATATGTGTAGCAAAAAAAAAATTAGACAAATACTTTACGCACTAATAGAAATAGTTATTTTTGTATCAAGGACGCGAAATGCACCAAAGTATTTCGCGCCCGAGTTGCAAACAATATTTTTTCTACAACTCCATTTAAATATCAATCATTCGAAGCCAAAATTGCATTTTCAATCAAAGGTAGGTGAATTTTAATTATTTTTGATTTCCTGGCAGGTATGTGTCACCATGACACCCAGTGTGCAAACTAGCTATTTCGCGCACACGTGCGCGAAATAGGTAGTTCGCGCACGGCGTCATGGGAACGTTAAAAAATCAATACCTGGGGAAAAAAGTGCCACTTCGCAAACTGTCATGAGTGTGCGAACATCATCATTTTTTGACAGTTGTAGAAAAAAATAATTTAAATTTTTTAAAAAGGATGAATTTTGTTTATTTTTTGCAAAAATACATTTTTACAGAAACTAATAAATGACCGTAAAATATACTCCTGGACAAAATAATCGCACCACTGCTTATGCGATGCTTATGTGCAGTGGTGCGATAATTTTGTCTAGGAGTATATTTAAGTAAGTTACGAGTTGTTTTCCTGATCTCCGAATTTTCCGGATATTATTCCGAATTCCGGCCGGACCTCCTCGGACACCCTAAAAACCCAAACATGTCCGGGTAAATCCGGACGTTTGGAAACCCTAATCCCAACAGAAATTTTAGCTGAAATTACCAAGTTCATCTCTTGTGGTAGTGAAACGCGCTTTACTACTGCCTTTCTTTTGTAGTAGTAAGACTGTTTGCTGTCCCTAATAAAAGTTTTTGTATATGTTCCACAATAGCAAAGTACGTTCCTGCTGTGACAAAAAAGTTTTTGGGGTAGGTAAGCATATGCCTGCATATGAAACTTTTTCAAACATAATTTCTAGTGTAGTTATATAGTATTTTTCATTACCAGTCCAGAAAAAAGGATTTTTCCGTGCGCGCGTGACAAATTCTCGTGTGAGGCGCAGCCGAGCACGGGAAGTCATGCAAGAACGGAAAAATCCATTTCTGGACGTGTAATGAACGATATTTTTTATTATACTTATCTGAAAACGATAAAAACAGAAAATTCCCATTTTTTAAAATGACATGAATTTTGCAGGAAATAAAATGTCAAAAAAAGGTACAGTAGTGAGCATTGAAAGTGGACACCCGACTCACAGGTCTTGTCATTTTTCGCTATTTTGGGTGAATCAGTCTTTTCTCTAAAATGGATTTTTTGTCCAATATGACAATACCTGTCATTGCCGTAAGTATAGCTGGTGATTTGGTTTTACACTAGGAAAAATCGGGTGTCCCACTTTCAATGCCCACGACTTTACATAGGTAAAATGATGGTTGTCACAGAAATTTAAATCGTTTCTTATTTTTTGGGGTGCATTTATAATAAGATATCTTTGTTTAATTCCTAATGAATGACAAGGATGCAATATTGACTGACGTCTAATCTGCTCAGCGCACGGAAACAGAGATCGGGAAAAAAATTCCGTGCGCTGTTCTGGAAATGTCACCTTTACTTTATTGTTGAGACAGGTGGAAAAGAGGTGTTTTCAGGTAAGTATAATAAAATAGTTATTTATGCAACAAGTGTGTAAAGTGAACCTTCTTTGCGACAATCACATGAGTGAAAAAAGGTGCTTTACGCACGAATTGCATACAAAATTTTTTCTACTACCAATTGAATATGTGTAAAAAAATAAATTTAGACAAATACTTTACGCACTGGTGCGTAAATAATTTTTACTTTACGCACTAGTGTGTGAAGTGAATTACTTTACGCACTAGTGCGTGAACATAAATTTTACGTCTTCTGAATAGTGCGTAAAGTGAGTACTTTACACACGGTAGTAGAAAATAGTTATTTATGCAACAAGTGTGTAAAGTGAACCTTTTTTCTCGAATGTGAATTTTGACGCACGAGCCGAAGGCGAGTGCGACAATCACATGAGTGAAAAAAGGAGCTTTACGCACGTATAGCATACAAAATTTTTTCTACTACCAATGTTCAAAAAATAGATTCAGACAAATATACTTCACGCACTATAGTGCGTGAAGTATTTTCACTTTACGCACTAGTGTGTGAAGTAATTTACCAGAAAAATACTAAATTGACAGTTGTCAACATCTGTCATTGACATTACTTTACGCACTAGTGTGTGAAGTGAGTTACTTTACGCACTAGTGCGTGAAGTGGAATTTTACATCTTCTGAATAGTGCGTAAAGTGAGTACTTTACGCACGGTAGTAGAAAAAAGATTTTTTTCTCCGAATGACACTAAAAGCGGCCTTTTAATGATACTTGACAGGATCAAAAGTTGTATTTTTACTGCCTAGGCAGTAAAAGTGGACTTTTACTGCCTAGGCATTAAAAGTGACAATGTCACAACGTTCCAGGTAATAATTTCACTCAATTTGGTATTTAAAATTGATGGTGACAAGTGACAATGACAATTGTCAAAATAATTTAATTATTTGGATAATAATAATGAATAAAATAGATATAAAAAAGATGTCCATATGTGAATTTAAACATTCGGAGAAAAAATTATATGTTTTACATGGCAGAAAAGCAGATTTAATGCCTTGGCTGGTTTCCTAGCCTCGGCTATGCCTCGGCTATGAAACACCAGCCGCGGCATTAAATCTTATACTTTTCTGCCTAGTAAAACAAATAACTATTAGTGCCCTAGTAGAAATAATTTCCATAGGAATGCTTTCCGCTGGTTCCGTAAGAGTGGAGGGGATCTTTCGGCTATATTTGGTGGTCGGCAGTGCCGGTTAGAGATGTAAAATACAGTTACTTTTGACTACTCATAACTATTCGTTACTTTTTAGTAATGTACTCGTTACTAAATATTCGTTACTCAAATACTCGTTCTGACTGGAATATATTATTGAATCTGGTCGAAGGTTGAATAAACAAAAATATGTATGATGTTAATAATATTTATGTCCGATTGATCAATAAAGTGCTATTTATAGAACAGTTTTGCGTCAATAAAGTAGCACTTTATTGTACTAGTAAAATAAAGTGCTACTTTATTTTACTAGTAAAATAGTGTGTGAGGAAACGAAATACGTTAACACACCTATAACAACCTGATCCATAACGCCCGCTTTTGCGGGCGTTATGATCTATAACGCCCGTTTATAATACTCTAAGGTGTTTTTGTTGTTGTTGCTCTATTCATTTGCACTTTGCCCTAGGCAGCCACTAAATGTCTGACCGAAAATAATTTTCGGTCTAGCCAGGATTCGAACCCGGTCTACCATCAACGTTTCCAATGTAGTCCAGCGCGTTAACCCACAGGACCACCACCGTTGCCTTGCCTTATGAGATGTTTATAGATATATTAATTTATTTCGTTTCTATGTACAGGTCGCAGGTACAGGTACAGGTCACAGGTACAGGTAAGTAGCATAAGTATACCCTAAGCGGTCTCCGCATGCGCAGTAGACATTTACTCTGACCTTGAAAGTGACGCCAGTGACGTCATTCGACCTTGGCCTTGAAAGTTAGCTATTTAACAAAAAAAAAAAAAAAAAAAAAAAACCTCCCCCCCCCTTTCCCCCCCCCCCCCCCCCCCCCCCCCCGCCACCCCTCCCCGTGACATC